TCTCGCTCGCTCTCTGGCCTTTTATTTTCCTATTTTTCCCCTCCTTTTTTTTTTTTTTTGGTAGTATTTCCAGGATTATTTTGGCGAGGGGGTGCACAAAAGCAAACAGATGAGGGAAAAAAAAAAATAATCACCTTCCTGGCTGTGCCTGATGGTTTGGCAGGGCTCAGGCAGCCTGGAAATGGAATGTGATTGTGGCAAATCACGGCGGTGACTCCTCGGCCGCCTCCGTGGTGCTGCACAGGAGCTGGTGGCACAGGACAGCTGGATGCCAGCACCCACCGAGGCAGCCCCGGCACCACGGGGACCTCGCTGAGCTGCTGGGAAGTGTAAAATACTGTCACGATGGCTTTTCTGCCCTTGACTGAACATTTTGGCTGGGGATGAACAAGTTCAACCTCCTTGATGTGGCCGGGTGCCCTCTGGGGGTTCTGGTGAGGTTGGGACCAGGCTGTGGGACCAGGAACAGCTCCTCCTCGCTTACGTTCATCCCAGGCTGGATGCTGAAGGTGCTCCTGACTGTTAGAGAGTCCTCCCCAACAGCACGAAGCCGTTGGGAGCAAGGGGGGATTTGGACCAGAGCAGCAGGAAAATCTCTGCACCTTTTCCTCCCCTCTGGCAGTGACCTGGGATCATAGAATCATCTAGGTTGGAAGGGACCTTAAAGATCATCTAGTCCAACCATCTCTCCTGCATCTCAATGTATTATCTCCTGCATCCCACCACCATCTCCCTCCTGCAGCAGCAGCTCCAGCTGCCGGATGGGACCCACGTTGGTGACTGCACCGAGACACCAGCCCAGAGCTCAGGGGCAGGGCAGGGTGGGCTCAAAGAAGGAGAGGGAGCGTGGGTGAGCCCCATCACCGCCCCCGGCCCCTCTCCCTGCTCCCAGGAGGGCTGGGATGGGGCCACACTCTCTGTCCCTCTCCAGTACCCACGGGCTGGCTGCAATGGGGGGGCTGCAGGAGCTGGGGTGGGGAGATGGCAGCCAAGGGCAGGCAGGACCAGGCTCCTGGGCAGCATCCCCACGGGCAGGGAAAGAGCCCAGGAGGAGGAGGCAGCGAGGCCGAGGCAGAGGGCAGGAATGGGTGCTGGGGGTAGGGATGCTCCGTGGACAGGTGACCCCGGCCATGGGGCTGAGGAGGCGGGGGGGGGAGAGAGGAGCCCTCCCGTGGCTCCTGCCCTTTGCCGGCCCCATTCTCTCCAAAACAAACAGAGCAGCAGCCCCTGCCTCCCCGTGTAACGACTCCACGGCGGCCAAGTTTAATATTCCCCGGTGAATGGCCCAAACAAGGAGCCCCGCGGGTCGGTGCGGCTCCGCCGGGGCACGGAGTGACGGCTCCACAAAGGGACGGGACCGTCTAATCCCCCGGGACCCTGGCACCTGCACCCCGGCCCGGATTAACGGGGAGCGAGCCGGCCTCTGCGAAGATCAGAGGCTTCTTTATAACGGCCTTGAAATAGGATTTCCTCAAGTGATAAGGGGAAGATGAGAGGGGGGGGGGGGGGGGGGGGGGGGGGGTGAGTGTTGGTACCTGCCCCCACATCAACTCCAGAGATGCTCTTTTGGGTCACCTGCCTCAAACCAGGTGCTCCAGACCTGGAGGGAGGTGGCAGGAGGGATGTAGGCATCCCAGTCCCCTCGTCCCAGGGGTGGTTGGTCCCTCCCCAACACCCCTCTCTATCTCCAGCACCCACCGAGGTGATGCTGAGACAAGGATGGGGGCTCAGCGCCCACCCACTTGCTGTCCTCGGCTCCGGGGCTGCTGTCCCCTCTCACCAATAGACCAAGATTTGGTGCTTCAACTCATCCTCATGTCACCTAATTCCAGAGTCCCTCCTGGGAGCAGCTCCTCAGTGCCCAGTTTCTGCTGGTTTCCAGCATGAAAATTTGTGGAAAATCCCCTTTGTGTCTTTTGCAGCCCTAAGAGGGCAGAGAAATGCCCGGTCTGTGATGGGCACCCTGCACCACCATAAATCTGGGGAAAAACCCTCCCAACCAGCCAAATGAAGGCTGAGCAGCTCCTTACACAGAATAAAACACCTTTATCTGCACAGGAACAACCTGTTACAGTGAGATCTCGATTCCTCACCCCTCATCACAGCCCTGCAAGCACCAACAGCCCCCAAAATCCACCCCCCAAGAGCGAGATGAACCAAGGGGGGGGGGGTTGCAGGAGAAGCAGCAGCACAGGTGGGACCTCACCAGCATCCACACCGTGTCCAAAAGCTTCATGTTAAATACCACGAGCTCTCCCTCCAACCACGCCGCCCGTCACCCACCAGCTTACTGTAAATATACTGTTGCTCTAATACAATTAAATATTTAATACTTGGGGAAGGAGAAAAAAAAAAAAAAAGTCCCATGCCTGCTTGTCTCTTTCAATAATTGTTTCGGTTTAACTCGCAATGTCCATAATGTAGTTCGTTCTTAAATCATGCAAAATTAAAGAAAGTATTTTAGACCATCTTAAAGCCTCCCCTCTGCTCTCAAAATAGCCTTTGCCTGTTCAGGCACACCCGATATAGAGCGTCGGGGTCATGGCGAACCTGGCGAGATGCTTTAGTGACGTGCTTTTCCAGGCTGCTCAGAAATAGTTTGCAGAAGGTCTGCAATAAATGTCTACTTAGAAATAAGCCTCTGTGCCCAAAGAGCGGGGCGGGTGGGCACAGTCTGGGCAACCCCATGGGACACGAGGCTGAGATGTCCATGCCCTCCCCTGAAGGACACCCCCTGGGTAGGACGGTGATGGGTTCGTGCTGGGGACAGCAAAGCCATCGAGTGGCCGAGCTGGGGCCTCAGGAAAGAGTTGTGCTTGGAGAAAGGAAGGTGATCTGCAGAGGACAGGAAAGAGCCAGGGCTGGGGACCTCCTGCCAGGGCACTCACCTGGGATGGCCTTTAATGCCAGTTCCTCCATCCCCAAACGCCGTGCTCCAGAGGCAGAGCAGTCCCCAAACTGAAGGTCTCCTCGCTGTCCCCCAGGATTAACACCAGGGCAAGGTCCCGTGCTGGGCGCTGGTCCCCTGAGAGGAGGAAAAGGCTGTGCCATCCCCACTGCCCGTCACGGACCCCAAAGGTGACCCACGTGTTGGTTCCTACACAGCACCTCGGGGACTTACCCTGCTCCTTGCAACATCCAGTTTCTGCCCAAGGGGCAGACAAACCCTCCCTTTTTTTTTGGTCAAAAACTAATGCAGTCAGTGCTTAATCCACTTTATTCGGGGATTAAGGTTGAGCAGGAGACTCAGTTCCTCTCTTGGAGACCACAGACTTGGCTTGAAGGCATCACAGCGGCTTCTGGGCTGCACAACACACCCGTGCCAGCACACACCAGGAGCTGCCCACAGACCCCAGAGCAAAACCTGTGGTGTCCCATGGTGGGATTGACCATCCCACCGGTCCCCGTGACCCCTGGGCACCAGGAGAGCAGCAGGGCTGGAGGGAGACTTGGAGGAACCTGGAGGTCGCCAGCCCTTCGTGAGGTGCCAGGGCGTCTCCTCGCCTCCTCCAGCCCAGGGTGGACTCAGAGCAGAGAGAAGCTCAATGGCTGCAGCCCCTGGGCAGGCAGCAATAATGGAGAACAAATTGCTGAACTTGGGAACGTTTCAAGCACTTTAGCCTCGCAGGCCACCAGACTGCTGATGAAAACCCAGCTTTGCAGGCACCATCTTAATGACAGGCCAAATTTCAAAGGCTTGCAAACTATTTCTTGCGCTGCCCCACCCCCTCAATAAAAGGTTGCATCAGAAAGAAGAGATATTTCCATAATTTATAGTATGGGTATTTCACTGGGGAGAGTCACTAATCTGTACTTACAGATACATTTAAGAAAATGCATCCTCCCACAATCCTGCGCCATTTACGACTATTGGCACAATCTGTAATACTCAGTCTTCAATTAAGGGACACCTTAGGGTTCATTATCACACAATTGCTCCCTGTGAACCATGCCAAATGCTGTTTTGGCACAGAGCTTGGAAGATGAATTAGAAGGAAGTCTTCTCGGTAATGCCCGCTCCCAATTCCCATCAGCAGCCTTTATGCCCTCCTCCAGCCATTTTTTCCCCCCTCTCCCCTCTTTCCAAGTGGCTTTTACTATCCCATCTTTCACTGTCTCTCTTGATTCTCTGGAGGTATATTTAGAGATGCTACATCTCCTTTTCTTCCGGCTCTCAACGTGCCTCCCGCTCCCTGCTCTGCAGATGGGATCTTCTCCCTCCCTTCCCCCGGCCGTAACCCCCCCAGCTGCCTGGAGAGCAGCTGATGGGGCTGGGTTAGGTTGGAGAAGCACAAAACTCATGTTTTTTTTACAAAAAAGGCTATAACTGTCCCCAAACTTTGCCTGGCTACAACAACAAAGTTACTGCTCCGTAACGTATCGAACAGCACAAAACTCATGTTTTTTTTACAAAAAAGAGGCTATAACTGTCCCCAGACTTGGCCTGGCTACAACAAAAAGTTACTGCTCCGTAACATATCGAACTAATGACCCACATCCCTCTCCCGCCCTGGACCAGCCACCCCCTTTGCAGGGAGGGCACAGGGCAAGCCCTGGATGGATTCAGCCACAAAGTTCTGGAAAAGCAACAAGTTTGGAGCATTAAAACCAGGGGCTGCCACCTCCTCCACAAGCAATAAAAAAAACATTGATACGGCTGTAGATCCCTGCCCCGCTGGCTTCGAGAAAACTTCCCTTCACTAAAACGGATCCTTCTGGCCCAAAGAGCTACAAATCACAGCACCTGAGTGTGGAAATCCTCCGTGTCACCGTGCCAAGAGGCACTTTGGAGTGACATGAACAGAGTTTCACCTGAATTAAGGCTCGAGCTGCCTCCACCGACCACCCCGGGCTCCTCCGGCGACGGGACGCGGGGACCTCCCAGACGCAGTAAAAACCAGACGGGAAATACTTCGCCCACAAGACACCTTGTGGAAATTTTATTATATAGAGTGTAAAATGCAACTGTCAGTCAAATAAAAAGAACACTTTTTTTTTCTTTTTAAACACCATGCTCGACATTAACCAATCGCGTTTCTTTATAGTTAGACATTTCAAGCATAAGGAGAAAAAAAAAATAAGGAAAGAACTCAAGAACTGTAAATTCAGTACATTTCAAAACGGAATGTCCCGTAGGGCAATTAAAAATGCAAGAAAAAATAGCTTCAATTCCGTTTTTCCTTTAAAAATACACTGTTATCTGTACAAGAAACACTACAGTAAACATTGGAAATCATATTATCCCTTTTATTAAATCAAAATTATTTAGCGCATACTGTGGTTAATACTAGATTCATTTATTTCTCTAGGTAATTTGACAAATATTAGATAAGAAAATATTTAAAAGAAATGAAAAAGCAAAAAACACCTTGGAATTAAAAAATAGTTACTACCTTTTATATGGTTTTATGTTCCACAGTGTTTGTTAAAGGTACTAATAGCAGATTCATTTTAATATTAAAAATAACAGTATTTATATTTCTGAGAGCATAGAGGAAAGTTTTTTTCTTTTTTTTGTTTTGGTTTTTTTTTTTAAACAAGCTTGGAGGTCTTAGATACATAAATGCAACTAGCAATGGAGACATGAAAAAATGTATTGCTAAAAAAATTAACACGTTTTTATATTACCCCTTTAGACTCTAGAAATTATACAAACCCTACAAAATGTCCCCCCCCGCCCATAACTTGCCTGACAGCAAAACAGGAACTGTCTCAATACAGAATTCACATAATTAATTACAATACATATCATAGTTCAGTTTTTAAAAAAATGCAATAAAATCAAAGACAGCCAAGATACAAGAAATTAGAAGTAAAACATTTAATGAATTTACATATTTAAGAATATTTAAATACTGTTTAAAATTTTTTTTTTCTTTTTAGGATTTGTTACATACCACCTAAGACTTCCAAGCCACTCTTTCTGTTGCAACAGAAAAGATCGAAAATTAAAAAGGAAAAAACACACAAAAAAAACCCACATGTTGAAATGTCACAGCTCTGGGGTGCGTTTTGGTGCCTGTAAATTCTCTGGCTTCTCTCCAAAAAGAATCCCGGAGTTTTGTTTTTGTTTTTTTTTTTTACAAATTTGGAAACAAAATTACCAGCATGTCCATAAGTTTAGTACATGACTAATTGTTCCTGATTCTTAGAAAAGTTCAGTATAGATTATCCTACAACTAGTGTTTCACAAACAAACAGAAAAAGTCTTCATCAAAATGTTGCAAATCTAGAAACCTCTGTTACAAAAAGGTTTTCTTCCACAATGATTCCAAGAAAAAAAAAAACAAAACAAAACAAAAAAAAAAACAACAACAAAACAAAATTGCCACGAGGACCTTGTTCTACTGCTCCTGGAGAGAGAGAGAGGGGAGAAAAGGAGAAGTTACTTGGTCAGCAGTGAATTCTGAGCGCTGTGGAGCCCTCCTCCCCCGGCAGAGCCGTGTCTCTGCTTCCCCCATCCAGCCCAGCAGCATCTATCCATCCCTCCATCCCTCAAAGGATGCTTCCAGCCGCTGTCGGAGAGGTCTCTGCCCTAACTCCTTCCAGGAGTTCGTGCCTCTTTATCGAACAAGATCTCTCTCTTCTCTCGAGGGCCAGACTTTGAGAGAGGGATGAAGAGAACTCCCTTTTATCACCGCTTTAGGTCACACTTGGCCGGCGGCGAGCGCCGGTTCCTGCGCCCGGCTCGACCTCGGGGCTGCCGGAGGCTGCAGCTGGAGGAGCCCGAGTAAAGGAGAGGATTCAGTGGGGAGAAGCCGATGGCACGAAGGTGGATCTGGGCTCTGAGGGGACTTTTTGCAAATATTCTGTGCAGCCAGAGCTCAGGAAAGCCCTGCGGGTCCGACCGGGATAAATCCCACACAACCCTCCGGTGTCTGAGCGATACCGAGGTGAGATTTTTTACTTGGTGGCTGGTTAATCCAAATTATTTTTTCAACAGTTTTCTGCTCTCTTTCAGGACAGGGTGCTCCATCCCCAAGGCCCCCGGGCTTTGTGCACTGTCCCAGCAGGAAGCTTACAGGAGAAAAGGCAAAGTTTGCCCACACGCTCCTGGACCGCACAATGTGCCACGCCATGGCTCCATCATTCCTTCTACTTTAATTCCCTAAAGTCACAAAACAGCCTGGGGGTTACAAAGAAAGGTCCCCAGGAAAAACAAATAACGTCCCAGTCCTTTCCCAAAAAAACCCCTCATCCTGTACAGGGAAAAAAAAGACTCTGATGTTGAAAGAACACGACAGGGAGCAGCGATTTCTGACTTCTGTGATCCCTTCCTCAGCCACAAAATATCTCTTTGCTTCACTGTGTGAACCCAAAGCTGAGTCCCCGTGCCAGGGCAAGGCCATCCCACCTTGTTCCCCACGGGAAAGAGCATGGGGGGGTGAGGAAATGTGAATACACACCTGGCTGTGGGCCTGAGCCTGCCCTAGTGTCTGCCCGTAGTAGGCAGCCTGCTGTCTGTAGTACTCTGCCCACGCCATCGTTTTTTCAACAGTTTTCTGCTCTCTTTCAGGACAGGGTGCTCCATCCCCAAGGCCCCCGGGCTTTGTGCACTGTCCCAGCAGGAAGCTTACAGGAGAAAAGGCAAAGTTTGCCCACACGCTCCTGGACCGCACGATGTGCCACGCCATGGCTCCATCATTCCTTCTACTTTAATTCCCTAAAGTCACAAAACAGCCTGGGGGTTACAAAGAAAGGTCCCCAGGAAAAACAAATAACGTCCCAGTCCTTTCCCAAAAAAACCCCTCATCCTGTACAGGGAAAAAAAAGACTCTGATGTTGAAAGAACACGACAGGGAGCAGCGATTTCTCACTTCTCTGATCCCTTCCTCAGCCACAAAATATCTCTTTGCTTCACCGTGTGAACCCAAAGCGGAGTCCCCGCGCCAGGGCAAGGCCATCCCACCTAATTTCCCACGGGAAAGAGCATGGGGGGTGAGGAAATGTGAATACACACCTGGCTGTGGGCCTGAGCCTGCCCTAGTGTCTGCCCGTAGTAGGCAGCCTGCTGTCTGTAGTACTCTGCCCACGCCATCGTGTAGTCCGGCTGGGAACTTGCCTGAGAAGCAGCGCTGGCAGCATGACCTGGGGGGGAAAAGAAGGGAAAAGAGAGAGATGAGCCATTCAGCAAGACCAAGCCCAGGCTCGGGATCTCCTTTTGTAAAGCCTAAAGAAGAGCCAGCCCCCTTCCAACAGCCACAGACATCTGAAAGAGCAACGCTGGCTCTCTGGATACGACGCGACAGGCTTGGAGCTGGTTTGCAAGTGACAAGCCAAGAGGAGCCACAAAGCATTAGGAGAACCTTCCTGTGGCCACAGGGACAGTGTGACAGCCCCACACCTTCATCCTCTGCCCAAAGGCCCCAGCAGCACCGTGTCAAACACAAATCCAGAAGTCAGCACCGTGCCCTTCTCAACAGAGTGGAGAAAGCCAGGCCCCTGTTTATCCCCACACACAGAGCTCTCCTGCCCTCTCTGCAACCCAGCTTCAGCTTCTGCTTTTCCTTAGCATCAGTTCTTTCCATGCTCTGTCTCCCCCAGGCAGGCCAACTGCCAGCATGGGGTCTGCTGTGGTTCTACAGGAGTCCCTCTCCCACAGCACGACCAAGAGCTTCCAGCAGGAGAACTACACACCCCATCACCAACAGGAGAGGAGCAAAGGGGGTTGGGAGAGGACTGGAAGCCAATAACGGCAGGGGATGGAGAGACAAGTCATCAGATTAGAGTTAACTCTCTTTCCAAGAGTTGATTCATCTCCAAGAACCCCGATTCACTCACTCTGTTTTTTGAAATACTCCTCCCATGCTTTGCTGTAATCGGGATGGCTGTTCTGCTGCTGGCTCTGATGGCCTGTGCAAAGATGACAACAAGGGGCACGTCAATAGGGAACAGGTGACAGTTTCCAGCCTCTCCAGACCTCTCCACCAGACAGGCCCTGGACCTAACCTCTGACACTTCAGCTTCCACCTTTCTACAGTGTCAGGCACCTCAGGGAAAGCCAAGGAAAAGCTCAATTTCCTGATTTCATCTCAACTGTGCCCTGTTAACAGGCATTAAGCCAGGTCTCCCCCTTGCTGGGACCCACCAAAGCCAAAGCATGATAAACTGGGAGCTGCCCAGTTTATCAGCCACCCCAGGCTGTCAGTCCAGTCCCATCCAGCACATGGACGGAGCCTTCAAACCCCTGACAGAGCTGAGACCTGTCACCTCCATCTCCAGCCATGGAGCTGCCACGGAGCTTCCACCTTTCTACAGTGTCAGGCACCTCAGGGAAAGCCAAGGAAAAGCTCAATTTCCTGATTTCATCTCAACTGTGCCCTGTTAACAGGCATTAAGCCAGGTCTCCCCCTTGCTGGGACCCACCAAAGCCAAAGCATGATAAACTGGGAGCTGCCCAGTTTATCAGCCACCCCAGGCTGTCAGTCCAGTCCCATCCAGCACATGGACGGAGCCTTCAAACCCCTGACAGAGCTGAGACCTGTCACCTCCATCTCCAGCCATGGAGCTGCCACGGAAATGACCACGTTTTGAGTCATCTCACTTGGTTTTCAGGGGTCTGCATCCTTCACCCCCGCTCTCACCAGCAGAGCACTTCTGAAGGAGCCCTGGTGGGCAGTGCCCATCTGTACATGCCAACACAAGCATCCATCTGCCCCAGCTCTGGGGTGGCCAAACTGCTGCAGAGTCCTCAGGAGCCTGCACAAAGCCCGTCCAGCTCCCCCTGCCCTCAGCACGACACCCCATGCATCATCCAGAGGCACCCACGACACCATGTCCAGGCTCCTGCCTACACAGAGAGACCCTGCAGACCCCAAAAACTTGATCTCCACCTAGCACAGACTCCTTCTCTTCGAAACACTACGACACCTGCAATCCTGCAGGTCTACAGGGGTGCTCCATCCAGCTGGGTGCAGAGGTGGGGTGCCCACACCTCCCACCCTCAGCCAGACAGGAAAAAACAGCCCCAAAGAGACAACACAGCAATTAGAAAACTGCAGAGAGGGACAGGCACAACGAGAGCACGAGCCACCAGACACTGCAATCCTGCAGGTCTACATGCTGTCACTGGGGTGCTCCATCCAGCTGGGTGCAGAGGTGGGGTGCCCACACCTCCCACCCTCAGCCAGACAGGAAAAAACAGCCCCAAAGAGACAACACAGCAATTAGAAAACTGCAGAGAGGGACAGGCACAGCGAGAGCACGAGCCACCAGACACGGAGATGGCAGGGGAGGACAGGAGACCTGCGTAGAGAGCCCTTCCCAGCCCATCCAACCACTTCTGCTCCATGTCCTGCGACGCTGGACGAAGGGGGGGCTTTGGAGGGGGGGAAGGGGGAATATAATACACTGCGAGTGTGAAGTGGGTGGAGGGAACAGGGCAGCAGTGTCCTGTCCAGGGGCATAAAAGCGGGTTAAAAGACTTGACCAACGCTACAAGTCAGGACCTTTTCTGGCAGAGGTCAAGGCTGCCTCAACTGTCCACCTGCTAATGCCAACAAAGGACCTCCTTCAATGCCTTTTCTTCTCGGAGAATTACAGTCCGCAGCGGGCTGAAAGGACACGCAGCTAAATGCATTTCACAGCAAAATGTTTCCCCAGCCAGTTAATTTATTTAAGATGGGGGGAAGTAATTAAAATCTAAATACATGTGTAGGGGTGGGGGTCTGCCCCTCCTCCCACCAGGAGGGCACTCTGGAGCCTGTCCCCAGGAAGCCTGGCTCCGAGGACTCAGCCGGCTCTTTTCAGGGCTAGCGGAGCTGCGAACAAACGGCGGCAGCACGAGGGGAAGGGACCCTTCACAACACTGATTTCAAGTGCAAAAGCAGGTATTTACCTAGTTTCTCATAATAATCCTCCCACGCCTTGGAAAACTCCACCTGGCCTGACTGGGAATCACCGTGATCTGCAGCAGGAGAAAGCACTGGAGGCTGCTTAAAGCACAGTGTTATCTTGTCTGTCCTCTCTCCTTACCAAGGCTGCCTTCAGTGGGCCTGGCTACAAACAGGAACGTGGGGGATCCTTAAGCAGACATGGAACTAGAGAGCCAACGTTTTCCCATCAGGTTCAACAGCAGAAATCAAACATCTGCCCCCAAAACACGGCCTTGTGGGACTAAACCCGTACAGGGGAAGGATAACAGCAAGGCAGGATGCTTCACTGGTCCTGGGAGCCAGCAGAAACCTGACAAACTCATTGCAAAGCAGTAATCACTGGGATACAAGCTGCACCATCAGTAATGGGGGGATTCAAAGGGTCTGTGCTTCTTCCACTGGGCTCCAAAGCCAGGAGGTGTGAACTCAAGACACAACTGCATGTTGCAGGAAGGGAGATTTTTCCCCCCTGCCAGTAGCTGTTGGGCAGGATAAAAGGATGTTTCAGGAAGATGAGGAAGAAGATCTGTTACTACCCTGAGTTTCTAAAGGCATCTTGCAAGGCAAAGAGCAATGAACATTTCATAAGCATTTATTTAAAGGCTTTATGGGAAGCTGAAGAAGACATTTTCTGTAGAGCTCTCCCTGCTGCACTGACTGCTCTGCTTCCCAAAGCCCAGGAAAGCCCAGTGCTCTTTGGGGTGCACAGGAAAGGATTGGTGTAGAGCTCTCCCTGCTGCACTGACTGCTCCGCTTCCCAAAGCCCAGTGCTCTTTGGGGCGCACAGGAAAGGATTGAAACAATAATTTTTCCTGTAAAAGAAGGTAATGGGAAAATACTCCTCTTCAGCACCATATTATTCCACTCCTGTACAAAAAAAAGTCCTTTCAAGCCCACCATTGCACTTTGCTGTCCTGAAAACAGAACGACTAGTGACCTTCTACAAATCCCTAGAGCTCAAAGGAAAAATTCTGATTTTTAGACTGCAATTGCTGATGAGCAGGACTCTTCCAGAGGCATTTTTCCAGAGTATTCTGAAAACAGGGGTTCCTGTGTCCTAGAGTAGCACACATTGTAGAAGTGTGCTAAGTTAACAACGCAGCATTGAGGATTTCCAAATTTCATCTATGCACAATTTCATAAACATTAAAATGTGATTACTGTTCACAGGGAATCACAAGTGCCATCGCAGGCATTGCTCCTCCAGCGTTTCCTCTACCTCAGGCACCTCAGAGGGGAAGTTTATACTGAAGTTAATATTCTACTTCATTGCTAAATCAGCTTTAGCACTGAAAAGCACCTGCCATTAAACCCCTTTAAAAGTACTCCTCTACTCCCATGCTTTTTGGTGCTTAGCTTTGGTTTTCACAAGACTAGGACGTTAAAAATTCCACCATATTTCCTGAAAAACTGTGATTGAAAAGTGTCTGTTGGACATTACTGCCCATACCATGAGCTTTGAGGTTACCAAGCAGACTGTGAATGTGCTCTGTTTAGGGCAAACTACTACTCTGGCTGCTGAAGACACAGGATGATGCTGTTACCAACATCACCACTACCTTTTACTACTTCTGTTACTCTGAAAAGGGGGATGCCCCATTCCAATCTATTGGAATTTGTCTAAACCAGGTTTTAGGAAGAAATGACACTTTGAACCTTGAAGAGTAACAGCCAGCCTGACTTAGTGCTGGTGGCTTGAACTGGAAAGCCCAGAAAGCCCAGCAGCAGGGGTGATCTGGGTTCAGTTTTTGGACTCATCACTAAGGACATGTGTGCACTATGATTTTTAAATTATCATTATTTGAAAGCTGGTTACCCCACTGGCCTCTGAGCATTTAGCACTGTGGAGGATGAGCAATTCTCATCAACACCCAAAAGGAGACAAAGGGCTGCTACAGGAGCCAGTGTGGATGAACCAAAACAGAAGCCCTGCCTGTCATTTCTTCTGTTTCCTACATCACCTTGCCTAGTCTTTCCTTCAGACCAGGAGTTAAACAGTGAGAAGAGCTCATAAGAAAAAAAAAAAAAAGAAGAAAATAAGCAAGAACTGATAAGGTCAAGAACAAAGGGATGGGAGAGCTCATCATCAGACACAGTGTGCCTGGCTGGGAGGAAGGTGAGTTGGCAAGTGCTTGCCTGGAGAATCCTGGAAGAGGAGAGTCTAAGGCAGAAATGTTTTTGTTAGAACAGACAGCAAGGACTGAGTTTCTACACAAAGAGAGCAGAAACGGGCAATAAGCAGTTAAGCACAGAAAAAACGCTACAGTTTTCAACAGACTTCAGCTTATTCTGAGCTCAACCACCACAGACTGGCTCCACACACCTCTGCTGCTCAGAAGTTATCTTGCTGTTTTCACACAAGTGGTCTCACGGGTGAACCTGTGCTTTGCAGGCACGAAGCAGCAATTGCAAAGGGATCACCAACCCTTCTCCAACCCGTGTCCTGGACACTTACTTGGGACTTGCTGTCCAGGCTGCTGCCACGTCTGGTAGGTACTGCCCCAACCCTGCGTCATGAACGCCTGGGGACCACTGCAAAGGACAGAAAGGCACACTGAAGCAGACAAAATACTTAATAAAATACTTAGCAAGCCATACATGTGACACCCACAGAAGTGAAATAATTACTGATAGTCAGCAATTGCCAAGCAAACAGGCAAACATGGGAACAAAAGGAAATGCTGTGTAGGTGTGACTACTGACTGCCTTGACATTGGTCAGTTCATGAAGCCAAGATGAAGGTCCTCGTGGTCATCTACTCATTTTAGGCTTCTTTCCATGCTCTCACTGTACTAGAGACAGGAATTTTGGAGATGCCAATACCTACCTTGTTTATAATTTAATAGTTTAAATCCTTCCTGCAGTTAAGCTTAAAGTTTTCATCTCACTTGTTTCTTGCTTCTGAATGTTCAATTTTTAAAAGGTTCCACTTATACTTCACCCCTTCAGGGCCCTCCACCCTTCTCCCAATGCTTTTATAGCTCCCAGCCATTGCCCACAGCCCACCCATGACGAGGAGGTGATGCTTACTTTTGATGAGGTGTAGCGGGTGCTTGGCTGAACGGACTTTGACCAAATCCTCCAGGTCCACCCATGCTGGTACCCTGTCACAGAATCCACAAATATTTAATGCCAGCTCTAAGCACAGCGTGGAGGCAGCTAGTATGAGCAATAATAAAGGAGAGAAGACAGCCTAGGACATGTTGCACTAAACTCCAGCATCTGAAAGTGACCAATTCTCCAAGGATGAAGTTCTCAGGACTGTCAGCACGCTCCAGAAGCCCAGCTTCAGAAGCAACCCTGGTCGGCCCACTAAAGGGCTAAGAGGGACTACAACACAGTTGGAAGTTTTCCTTTGAAGAGCTTGGATCCTGAGCTTCTCCTCTCAGGCAATTCAGCGTAAAGGCTGCTTTTCAGCTTTACCATGCCCCCCTTCAGTATTTTCCATACTTTCTTTTACTCAAGGCTCCCCCTTCAGTAGTACTCCAGCTTGAGATTATTAAGCTTCAATACCACAGCACTGCATTAAGTGGAAGACAAAAGTCATCCTGGATTTACTGGAGCAAGGAGTTGAGTGTTACTTTTAGTATGACGACGCCAGGATTCTGTCATTCTCATGTAGTGACACTATTGTCTTCCCTTCAAAAAATCTCCTTTGACAGCCATCTCATACCTTATTTCAATACCACAGCACTGCATTAAGTGGAAGATAAGTCATCCTGGATTTACTGGAGCAAGGAATTGAGTGTTACTTTTAGTATGATGATGCCAGGATTCTGTCATTCTTATGTAGTGACACTATTGTCTTCCCTTCAAGAAATTTCCTTTGACAGCCTTCTCATACCTTGTGGTCGGCCCACTAAAGGGCTAAGAGGGACTACGACACAGTTGGAAGTTTTCCTTTGAAGAGCCTGGATCCTGAGCTTCTCCTCTCAGACAATTCAGTGTAAAGGCTGCTTTTCAGTTTTACCATGCCCCTCCTTCAGTATTTTCCATACTTTCTTTTATTCAAGGCTCCCCCTTCACTAGCACTCCAGCTTGAGATTATTAAGCTGCAATACCACAGCACTGCATTAAGTGGAAGACAAAAGTCATCCTGGATTTACTGGAGCAAGGAGTTGAGTGTTACTTTTAGTATGACGACGCCAGGATTCTGTCATTCTCATGTAGTGACACTATTGTCTTCCCTTCAAAAAATCTCCTTTGACAGCCATCTCATACCTTATTATTGCTGTTCTTCCCTCTCTGACCCATGATTATGTCAGCAAAGAGTCAGATCCTTCTGGGACCACAGCAAAAATTAGTCCAATGGATGCTAGAGGGCCATCAAAGTTTGAGACAGCTGCTAACAGGCAAGTGGTTTTGAAGCTAAATAACGTAAGCACGTGTATTTGGTTGGACTAGATGATCTTAAAGGTCCCTTCCAACCTAGGCGATTCTGTATTCTATGCCATCCTGGAAGTCCAGGCCTAAATTCACATCTAAAAGGACAGGCCAAGATGAACAGAGATGGGACTTACACCAACTTTCTCATCTATGAGATGTCTTGCGAGTTCAATTTGCTGGGGAACTCCTCTGATTGTGAATATTCGTACACCAGGGTCTGTGTTTGGAGGTGGGTTTCTCTGGAGCTCAACGTGGGCTCCTGACTGCTGATTTATGCTCTTGATGTTCTCACCACCTGAAGAAAAGAAAATCAAGAGAAAAGAAAACATTCAGCATCTTTTTCCATAAAAAAAAAGCCATAACAAAGTCAGGCTCCAGTAATGGAATATAGTTGCAACTACCTTCTGTGTGCCTCAAGGGAGGTGGACTGAGGATGGCAGCAGCACAAGAAACCACAGTACCTGAGCTCGTGTTGCTCCTTTTAACTCTTTCATGAGCGTGACCCGAAACTGTGAGCTACTGCCAGGTTTTTTTGGAGTCATGGATGGTGCTGTTTGAAGAACCCACACAGTCCCCCTGTGAGCACATTGCCAGGCTGCCAACAAAACACAGCATGGCTCAGATACACTTTGATAAATCAGATGCAGACGCTGTACTGACTGAATGCTGGTGGTTTTGCACAGCTGTTCATAATCCTCAACACAAGAAAGTCACCTGCAACTGAAACATCCTTTTTCCTTCTTCCACGAGCCTATTTTCCCCATCACTAGGCATTTCATTCCACTAAGGCAAAAAAGCCACCAGCCACATACTTCATAGCTTAAAATACTTAGCCATACATGTGACACCCACGGAAGTGAAATTATTACTGATAGTCAGCAACTGCCGAGCAAACAGGTGAACGTAGGAACAAAAGGAAATGCTGTGTAGGTGTGACTACTGACTGCCTTGACATTGGTCAGTTCATGAAGCCAAGATGAAGGTCCTCGTGGTCATCTACTCATTTTAGGCTTCTTTCCATGCTCTCACTGTACTAGAGACAGGAATTTTGGAGATGCCAATACCTACCTTGTTTATAATTTAATAGTTTAAATCCTTCCTGCAGTTAAGCTTAAAGTTTTCATCTCACTTGTTTCTTGCTTCTTAAAGTTCAATTTTTAAAAGGTTCCACTCACACATCACCCCTTCAGGGCCCTCCACCCTTCTCCCAATGCTTTTATAGCTCCCAGCCATTGCCCACAGCCCATCCATGACGAGGAGGTGATGCTTACTTTTGATGAGGTGTAGCGGGTGCTTGGCTGAACGGACTTTGACCAAATCCTCCAGGTCCACCCATGCTGGTACCCTGTCACAGAATCCACAAATATTTAATGCCAGCTCTAAGCACAGCGTGGAGGCAGCTAGTATGAGCAATAATAAAGGAGAGAAGACAGCCTAGGACATGTTGCACTAAACTCCAGCATCTGAAAGTGACCAATTCTCCAAGGATGAAGTTCTCAGGACTGTCAGCACGCTCCAGAAGCCCAGCTTCAGAAGCAACCCTGGTCGGCCCACTAAAGGGCTAAGAGGGACTACAACACAGTTGGAAGTTTTCCTTTGAAGAGCTTGGATCCTGAGCTTCTCCTCTCAGGCAATTCAGCGTAAAGGCTGCTTTTCAGCTTTACCATGCCCCCCTTCAGTATTTTCCATACTTTCTTTTACTCAAGGCTCCCCCTTCAGTAGTACTCCAGCTTGAGATTATTAAGCTTCAATACCACAGCACTGCATTAAGTGGAAGATAAGTCATCCTGGATTTACTGGAGCAAGGAATTGAGTGTTACTTTTAGTATGATGATGCCAGGATTCTGTCATTCTTATGTAGTGACACTATTGTCTTCCCTTCAAGAAATTTCCTTTGACAGCCTTCTCATACCTTGTGATTGCTGTTCTTCCCTCTCTGACCCATGATTATGTCAGCAAAGAGTCAGATCCTTCTGGGACCACAGCAAAAATTAGTCCAATGGATGCTAGAGGGTCAAAGTTTGAGACAGCTGCTAACAGGCAAGTGGTTTTGAAGCTAAATAATGTAAGCACGTGTATTTGGTTGGACTAGATGATCTTAAAAGTCCCTTCCAACCTTAGGTGATTCTGTATTCTATTCTGTATCCTGGAAGTCCAGGCCTAAATCCAGGATTCTGTCATTCTTATGTAGTGACACTATTGTCTTCCCTTCAAGAAATTTCCTTTGACAGCCTTCTCATACCTTGTGATTGCTGTTCTTCCCTCTCTGACCCATGATTATGTCAGCAAAGAGTCAGATCCTTCTGGGACCACAGCAAAAATTAGTCCAATGGATGCTAGAGGGTCAAAGTTTGAGACAGCTGCTAACAGGCAAGTGGTTTTGAAGCTAAATAATGTAAGCACGTGTATTTGGTTGGACTAGATGATCTTAAAAGTCCCTTCCAACCTTAGGTGATTCTGTATTCTATTCTGTATCCTGGAAGTCCAGGCCTAAATTCACATCTAAAAGGACAGGCCAAGATGAACAGAGATGGGACTTACACCAACTTTCTCATCTATGAGATGTCTTGCGAGTTCAATTTGCTGGGGAACTCCTCTGATTGTGAATATTCGTACACCAGGGTCTGTGTTTGGAGGTGGGTTTCTCTGGAGCTCAACGTGGGCTCCTGACTGCTGATTTATGCTCTTGATGTTCTCACCACCTGAAGAAAAGAAAATCAAGAGAAAAGAAAACATTCAGCATCTTTTTCCATAAAAAAAAAGCCATAACAAAGTCAGGCTCCAGTAATGGAATATAGTTGCAACTACCTTCTGTGTGCCTCAAGGGAGGTGGACTGAGGATGGCAGCAGCACAAGAAACCACAGTACCTGAGCTCGTGTTGCTCCTTTTAACTCTTTCATGAGCGTGACCCGAAACTGTTAGCAACTGCCACGTTTTTTTGGAGTCATGGATGGTGCTGTTTGAAGAACCCACACAGTCCCCCTGTGAGCACATTGCCAGGCTGCCAACAAAACACAGCATGGCTCAGATACACTTTGATAAATCAGATGCAGACGCTGTACTGACTGAATGCTGGTGGTTTTGCACAGCTGTTCATAATCCTCAACACAAGAAAGTCACCTGCAACTGAAACATCCTTTTTCCTTCTTCCACGAGGCTATTTTCCCCATCACTAGGCATTTCATTCCACTAAGGCAAAAAAGCCACCAGCCACATACTTCATAGCTTCAGCTTTGTTTTTAAGCTCTCCCCATCACATGCTGTGCAATTCGCTTCAAGAAACCTCCGCTTATCAACCAGCCACATACTTCATAGCTTCAGCTTTGTTTTTAAGCTCTCCCCATCACGTGCTGTGCAATAGCTTATTCGCTTCAAGAAACCTCCGCTTACCGCGCTTCCTATTCACACCCCAGCACACACATCCCTCCACCCAACTGCAGCAGCACAGGATTCCGGGCAGTTTTCCCCCGTTTTAGAGTTCGTTGTGCATGCAGTGAACATAGCTGGCTAGTTTGCCATCTGGATACCCCAGAGCACAGGAATGCTTCGAGCAGGATGCAGCGGGGCCAGCCAAACTGGATCTGATTTCCCCAAGACCTGCTAGGTCCCAGTCTCTTAATGAAATTTGCTTAACAAAAGCCTCAGCCAACATTACAATGGTTCAATTCTTCCTTTGGAAGCTCACTCAACTTACAGACCAGCTCCACTCAACTGGAGAAATTAAAGGGTGCAGGGAAGGAAGGGGTTTTACAACTTTTAAATCACAAACCAAAAATCACCCGTCAATAGGGCATACAGCAAGCAGGAAACAGAGCAAAGGAAACTAACTGGAGATTTGTGTTTGCTTTTAATTAAAAAGAGTCTCCAAATACAATCTCCTCAATTTTGCTTGCATTTCCATCCCTATACATCCAGCACAACTTCAAAACAAACCCTGGATGCTGCAGACACTTGTTCACTTCATTGTAATGGACTCGTGACCCTTTTAACATTTTAAAGCCTTCTTGGGGAAGGGAGGAGGAAAAGTTGCCAAAGGGCAATTAACTCTTTCTAAATGAATTTTTGAAGATGCATTTAACAAAAGATAATCGTGTCACATCCCTGGGCAGACAACAGCGATTGTACTGTGCAGCCAAAAGCCAAGCCACTTATTTTCAGTCAAGCATGGGAAAGCCCTAAGATGAAGTTTCAAAACCAAGTTGTTTTTTTTTTTTTATGTAATGCTTTTGTCTGATGCACTTATTTGAAACTCTGGTTTTAACACACTGAGGTGAGATCCGAATCAACAACCATTTCATCTGCTTAATGAAAAAAAGATGAGCCTTTCAGCCAACATGATTTGGATGGTGAAGGAGCAGGAGAGCTTTGCTGGGTGACAGAGGCATAACCACAGGTTATCTCCTTCCAAAAGGGGATTAAAAACTGAAGCTCTCTCAAACTGGAAACAAGGAGAATAAGGATTTTACGTCATTTCCCCATTTAGCATCAAGTTGGTAGTTGCTGGGACTGTTTCCACATCAGCTCTCTCCTAGACCATGTTGTGGGATCAGTGTGACTCTCCAGGTTTGGCCAGAGCTGCAGGCTCCTACCCCCGTACCTGGACTTGGTGCCCTTCTCCTCCTCACCCTCCATCCTGGTACATGCCTAAGTGCTCCCTCCCATCCAAGAGATCCCAGTTCAGCCTCCAGAGCATGCAAATGAAGTGACGCAGTCAAAATGATGCTGCTCGGTGCCGGAAGGAGTTCATCTTGCCCCATAATGAGGTGACCCACTTGGCACATGGTGGCTGTCTATAGACGCATTCAGCAGCCCCCTCCATTCTTCTACCTGATGGGGGGCAGAAGTGATCCAAGAGTGGCCCCCCAGCTGGACGTGAAATCGTAAAGCAATTAATCAAACCTGCTAAAAGGCAGAGCTGACAAGAGCCAGGCCGGCCACGTTATCTGTCAATATTGCTGTATTTATCATGGAAATCCAGCGGGGGCCCAGAGAGGCTGCGGTTTGTTTCCAAGCACCACCAAAGAGAGAAAGCCCTTGACATGTGTATGGCGCTCGTCTCCACCCTTCCTCCAGTCTTTCAGAAAAGAAAAGCTGCACCTACCCACCCTCTAGAGGAAAAAGCTACGCACACGATTTGCAGGGAGCCGGGCGCTTCTTATCAGCTCCCTAAAGGCTCACACTCCCAAGCTGAGAAGTGGTGCCCAGGAGAAAAGGACCCTAGATCTTCTGTGAAATATGCCACAGAAATTAAGTTGAGAAACTTCCTCATCTCCCTCTTTTCCCCCTTTCTTGAGAGGTGACATGGAGGTGGAAGCACAGCAGCAGTTAACCTGGTCACATCACATACACTACACCTTGGGGGGCCAAGAGCCCCATTGCTTGGGGGGTAACCTCTGAGACCAAGCTACATGTGCCCATAGGACTCAGCCAGATCTTACAGAGAAGGCTACAGCCACGGGGTGGGGGGGTGAAGGGGAAAGAAAAGAGTAAAAAAACAGCTGGAAAATGCTCAGAAACTAACAGGGGAGAGCAAAGGTTTAACAATTGGTCACTGTTACAAAAAAACCCCACTAACAATCCCTCTCCCCACTACGCTGCCCCACAGGCAGCGGGAGAGGAAATCAGAAGAATCAGGTGTCTTGCATCAATACATGGTGAGATCCATCCTGGTCCAGGCCTCAAACAGCAACGCTACAGCCATCACTCACTTGACAAAAATGAAGGCTGCCATAGACTAAGAGCAGAAGCACCGTAAGAACACCGATTACAAGGTGGTATTACAAAGCTACAAAGCACTCAAATCACCATACAACTAGTAATTAGTCACTCCAGAAAGCTTCTGATCTGGCCGGGTAAGAATCCCTGTTTTGCTGTTGTGGAAACAAAGGTAAAAAGCTCCCCTTCACCCCCACAGCGAGCCCGTGCCAGGCCTCGCGTTTGAATGCTAGGACATCCAACTCCACTACCTGCATTTATCTTCTCAGCACACAGTGCTCTCTGTAGTCACAACTGCTCCACTTCAGTGCACTGCTGAACAACAAGTGACCTTTTCTGATCCCTTATTAGGGATGACTAATGGATACAGCAATAAAGTTTCATTATAATTTGATGGGTTTTTTTCCCCCCATACACGTAGCTCTCACTTGTGGGCTTAAAATTTGCTTTGCTTGATCTTTTGCCCAACCGGACTGTTCAGTGAGATCGAGCACAATTGCTCTGCAATTTCTGCATAATAGGGAGAGCAGGTGTTTTTTCATATTGAAAAAAGTTTTCAGGTTTGTGAACAGGTTTACAGCAAAAAAATAATATCTGAAAATAATTGCAGATACACCGCTGACATGTCCCATATCTGTGTCCCTTGCCATGCAATAAGGCAGCAGTTTGGGTTGCCACAGGGGCCAGACACACAGAAAGGAACAAGTGAGATGCAGCAGGGGAAAGAGGCCACAATACGTTTCACCACAAGCTCAGTCCTGCCCAACAGGAGGGCAGGAAACTAAATGTCACTGAAACATGGCACAATGCCCTCGAGTCTCTGCCTCCTTCACCGCTGCAGCTAAGCTGTTCCTGTTCTATTCACCTCAGCTCTGCTGAGGCTAAAAGCCAACTGTAATTACTTAAGTACTAGTCAAGGCATATGTCATTCTTTCTGAAATAAGCAGATAGAAAAATTAAATACGTCAGTGTATTAACTCCGAAGCATCGCAACAATTCAGAGCCACAGAGCTCTTCTATTCCTGGCTCTAATCTAAGTGCTGCCATCACCCGATGCGTAATGCTCTATGACAAATTGAGACTGCTGCTGATGCTCCCACTGTCCTGGGAGTGTACTGGTTTTGGAGAGCAAGGCCAGATGACTCCTTGTCCATCTCCCTAGCATGGTTTCAACGGCTAAGGCAGCCAAGGGACATCTATGGCAGTGAACACACCAGTCTGAGCAAGATGAGGCGCAACCAGTCTGCTCTGCAACAGGCTCAGACACGGGCAAATCCTGCTACTTCACTTTATTCATCAGATACTTCAGGTACGTGGCTAGAAGCAGCTACTGTCATTACCACATTCAGAGACCTTCCATTTTATCACATGGCACTCACAGAAATCCAGCGCGATGAAATGACTGTTCTGCTTGTCCCTGATAAACTGTCCTTTAAACGAATTCTCTATAAAAAGAATCCACAAATGAACCTGCCTTTTCTCAGCCAGCTGCTTGTTATAACAAGCTTACTTGACAGCTCTGCATGAAGAGCCTCTCTTACATATTGTGAACAAGGGCCTGGAGAGTACAATTATGAGTGAGAGCACCACAAAGAAAACAACCACAGCGCTTATAGCTTATTCCTACGCTGCATTCACCGGCCACTAAATACCTGCAATTACAGAAAACTCCAAAGCTTCACTGTCAGGCAGCAAGAAGGGAACCATCCCGAGAGAAAAACCATTGCCAGCTCTAGGATTTAGTGGCACTGGACCCACCTTTGCCTATAACGAGACCACACTTATCGGCTGGCACCGTGTAGGTTATTTCCTGCATCCCCCCAGGGGTTCCAACGCTCCAGTCCCCGCGGCCACGACCTCTTCCTCGGGCTACAGCCAAACTCCCAAAGCCATCTCGTTCCTTGGAAGGTAAAAAAATTTGTATCAGTGTTTGCTTTGTTTTTTTTCTGGCTCCAACGCACATTAAAAACAAAATAAAGCAAGGTAAGTTAAATTGCATTATAATCAATGGCACTGAATTAAGATATTCTTGGACTTCAGTTTCATATTCAAGATTTTGAAGCACTTTAAAGGAATGCCAAGTAACGTAGGCTATAGTTGTCTTCCTGACTCAGGAAGATATTTATATTTTTTAAATGCATCCCTTTGTATCTGCTGAAATAAACCTATAAACAAGCATCAACTACTAAAGGACTTTTAGTTTGTGATACGGGCTTATCTTAGAGCAACCAATAGATCTTGGCACTGACACACACGGACGTTGCTTCCAAACCCTTTCAAGTGTTGTTCTTTAAAGAACACTGGAATTACTCAGCTGAAACGCACATTTTCCAAAACTTCCAAAGGAAGCTTTTAAGTTCAAAGACACTTCAAGGACATAACTATTTTGGATGACTGATTTCTCCAAAAGCAAAGGCCATGCGCAGAGACAGACCTCAAAATTTAAGTGGATTATTTAAAAAATTACAAGATTAAGCATTGTAACCAGATCTCAGGGCAAGAAGAGGTACCAAAACCTGCCCTTGATAGAGAAATTACACTCAGGTATCTGGTCTGGAACGGTCTAACATCTTTACTTCTCATAATACAAAGGGAATATACAATCTCCTTCATGAGTCTGCTCTACTGCTCCATCCATCTTTGAACTTCTTGCTCTTGAGCAGCACTGTATGTTGGAGTATTTCTCACAGCACAGCAGCCACATGTGAGAATTCACTGCCTTCCCCTGCCTCCCACAGCTACCGGACCAGAGAATGGTGGTCAGAGGAGGAGGCATCACTGAGCAGAGTTAATTCTCTGCTGCCTGAGCGTTACTCAGACCTGCTGAGCAGAGCCTCCAGTCACTGTCTCACATGAGTGCTGGACTCCACTCCACCAGGTCACCATTTCCAAATAACTCAAGAACAACTGAAACACATAGAGTAAACATGGAGCTACAATGAAGTCTCATAGTACTGCCTGAGAATAGGAGACCTTCCTAGAGCTCAGTCAGCCCATATCACATTAAAAATACAAATAAACAAACCCCAAACCTAGCAGTTCTGTCCTGGATGGCAGCATGTATGGCCTACCAGAGGGAAAATTCAACACTGCTGTTCTTCAGGTGGTAGTATCCATCCCCACAGCTGCACACACGCAGACTGCATTCCCATACAAGCACTCCTCTCCAAAGAGCATCCAGAACCCACCTGTGCTGTGAGAATGAGCTCACTGATGATGTGTGCTGCGTGTTGACACCTATCAGGAAGCCCCATGACCTGTGCGACTCTTTCAGAACTAATCCCATCATCTGTGAAGAGAGGTGGCAAAGACTAAATTAAAAGGAGAAAACATCCACCCACCAACAAAAGCTTCCTTTTAGCACCACCATGGCTAGCAGCGTTTTCACATAACATAGCTACCCCAAGAGCCACCTCCTCCCTCCACCTTCAGCAGCCTGAAAGAAGACAAAACCCAACCCACATTGCAGAGGGAACAACATTCAAAAGGCAACACTTTCAAATGTCCAAAAGCCATGAAAGAGACTGATATAATTTTAAGAGGACAAAGGCAGCTTTGAGAGGTGATCAGACAGCCAAGGACCCAGAGAAAGTTACTTAAAATTAATCAACTCCTGATCCCAAAGGCTTTAATGTCCTGAAGAAGAATTCTTCAACAGATACAAAAGTTTTTTTGTTATTGTTTTGTTTATCCACAGAATTACCACTCAAGACATGACTGTTGTGACATCTAATGTTTGCAAGTGACCTGTATATAGTGCTTACTCTTTGAAAAAGAGAAGGTGCACGAGGAAGCAGCACATCATATTTAAACAGGTTTCAGAAAGAGACAATGCACCTTTAAATGAGGAAAGCCTAGTTGCTGTAACCTCGGATCAGATTCCCTTTAGCAATCCCAAGCTGGAACACTGGGCAGAAAGTAACGGCTCTCCATCCTCTCACAAACCTGGTTTAAATTGAATCCTAACTCCAGCATCATTCTGAATCTTTTTGATCATTTCTCCATTTCTTCCTATCACAATTCCAACAGCAAACCTGGGCACAGAGACCTGATGGGAAAGGCAAAGCAGTGTGAAAGCTCAGAGAACTAGACTGAATTACTCTGATTTTACAAGGAGATGCTCTTAACTATGAGGACAGGCCACGTTAGGCAGCTCCAGGCTACAGAACCATATCCCTTAAGAAAAACAAACACGTGGCCGCAAATTCCTTCCCCACTAAATGAACTCTGCACTACAAGAATGCAGCTTAAAAAGACAATTAGAAAAGTGCCATCTGGGAGTCCATGAGAACTCCTCTTCTTTTGCAGCCAGACTCGCTCTTCTGGCAACAGAACACAATGCATTTAAAAATAATAAGGTTACATGTGCAATTTGATGACTTCCCCCCACTGCCCATCCCACAGGGAGGTTAGCAGAGTACTCGTGAAGAAAACATACCTCTATGCTGCCTCCTCCCATTCTAGAACTGAAATCATTGCGTACGCCTCGGAAGTCTGCCTGATCTTTCTCTCGGATGATCTCCAGTACCATTTCCCTCGCTTGCTACATGGGGAAAGAAGTTACAGTTAGCTTAAAATGATTCTGCTTGCCATCTTGGTGTTGGGGCCTCAGCAGTGGCTAATGGTCAGGCTTCAGGCAAAGCGATCTCCATCTGCTTGACAGAAAGAGCATTCTGATTTAGAAATTCGTTTACCACAGTCAATGGAGATCTGTTCTCAACGGCATCTTCCACGTCTGACAAAACCTGCCAAATGTGCAAGGTGGCAGTTTCTTGTGTGCAGTTGCTTCCTTCAGCCTTTCAAAAAGGCCCTTTAGCTTTAAAAATATCTTTTGTTTTGTTTCTAAATTAAAGAAAGGGAAGGCCCTTTCCTCCTGGACAGAACTGAAACCAATACAGTAAGGCAGAAGCTGTGGTGTTGTAGCAGACAGCACGTCTACTAGGAGCTGGAGAGCATGTCCCAAGGAGGCAGGTGGGCAGCAGGGAGCTTACTGACACTCAGAGAAGTTAAGCCCAAGTCTGCAGCAATCCAGCAAGACATTTTCTGGGACAAATGAATATTCTTCCTACCTACTTGCAGCCCTCAAGCCTATTCACAAGCTTGCACATAGCCCAGCTAGTAAAAGTGTACAATGGAAATAAGCCAACAGTAGTCACCATTAAAAAAAATAATGCCTGTATGTCAAACCCAAAGCCTTTGTTTCTATATATTACCAGTGAAGCTTTTGACATTTCGGTTCTATTTCCCAGTTTGAGGGCACCAGTGAACCTGACTCCTTTCACATTTTTATGTATTTTCCATGCCCCTGTGGTATTTTTTACAGAAGGAAACAACTCTGTACATTTCAGAGATGCCAAGACAGAAAGAAGGGCAATGGAAAGATTTCACAGGGATTTGATAGAGTTAAGACACACCGTTGCAGCATCCAGCAAATCCCACCAAACCCAAGGATTCATCGAGCTTCTTAAGTGCTTTCTAAGTGTGCTCAACTTTTCTAAGTGCCTCAAAGATCTTCCAGCCTAAGCAGTCTCTGTGATTGCCTGGCATGATTTATGGCACGGAAGATGTGACAACAGCAAATCTTGCAAGGCAGAAGAAACCACTGGGGAAGCAGCATCCCTTAAAGTATGATCCGGTTAAAAGTAGCAAGACTGCCATTAAACTCCTTTTTGCATGTCTGTATCTCCACAATAAGTAAGAATTTTGAATAAAAACGCCACCCACATTTAAATCCAAAAAGCCCACTTGCAGTAAGATGTTTGAAAAACACAACCCAAACATGCTACCCCTGAGCAACATCAACTTGCAGCAATTTATGCTCAGGGAGATCCTATGAAACAGAGCTATTTTTATTAGAGACAGGAATGCTAAGCTAGATTTAAGTTCTTAGCAAGGTATGAAAAGCACTTGCTGAGAAGTGGAACATGCCACGGCTAAACTTTAATTCTTTAATTCAAGCACTCCCATCATGCTGATCATGGGGTTTTGCTTTGAACCGCAGGTATGAACACATCTGTAGAACCCTGACACAAGGAGACTAAGGTACCAATATTAAGTAAACCCCTTGGTTTCAGGAGTTGTCATGGGATTATTATTTTTTTTTAATTACCTGCGTCAGTTGGCTGTCTGAGATAATGAACCTTCCACAAAACTGTCTCAAGTCTGTGGTTAAATTAGTCACTGAGAACCCAATTGCTCAAGTAACATGTAGCTATGATTTTTTGCTTCATGGACTCGAAATCATTTCAAAGGTACTTTCTCCAAACCCTCCTCCTCAGTCCTTCTCCTACCCGTGTCTAACATCTATGTGGAGTGAGAGCTCCTAGGTGACCCTGTCAAAAAACCAACACTTGCTAGTCTGGTGTTTTAACTCGCTCTACTCAAACTTCAACCTTACAGAACAAACAAAACCAGCAGAGATTGTTACATTTACAGTCGGATTCAACTCCCACTAGACGGTCACAAATAGGTTAAAGTTTAAATTTCTCCTCAGTTCTCTAGGGCAACTGCTTAATAAAAACATACCTGTACTTTAAATGCATCTCCAGTGATACGGAGAGGTTTGTCTGCTCCGGTAGGCAACGGACCGTCCTGGATCATAATCATTTTCACACCTGTTCGCTCCTGAAGAAAAAGCACAGAGCACTTTGCTAAGCAGAGTCCCTAAAACAAGGGACTATATTTTGGTTACTAAACATCACGTAGGTCAAATCAGCAGCTTTAAAGAATGGTACTTTAGCTCTTCATGGGTACTTATAGCACAAATTCAGTGATAGTCCTAGAGCGCAAAGGACCGCCAGAAAGTGTGCTGCTCCTGAAGTTCTCCAATAGCTGAACCCCTTGCAAAACGAGAACCCCTCTACCTCAACAACTGATCTTTCAGCCCTTTCCAAAACCTGTAGCTGTCTGCATATGAAATTAAGCTGTCGGCATAATTAAGTGACCAGCCTTAAAACTACTGGATGACAGAGGCCTGATTGGAGCACTCAAAACCTTTTTTACCTAGATGCTTCTCTGAAACCCTCTATTCTTTAGAAAACTTGTACCAGATGGAGGAATAAAGAATGTCTACGAACATAGATTTATACGTAACACAACACTTAATTAGAAAGGGGTGGGATGAGGAAAAAAAGGAGGACACACGCCAGCTTTATCACAGAGCAGCAACAAAAGAGAAGCACAGCACTCTACAACAGCATGGCTGGCATTAAAAACCATTGCAGCAGCAGACTAGAGATAGCCTTCTCTTGGCTCCAAGGATCCCCTCCTAAACAGCACGCACCAAACGTTATCTAAAGCACATGAGTTTCTTTCACAGTTCTGGCAAAACTCCACTACGTGCGTAGCTAGGGCCAAACCGATTTCTTTTTGTTTTTTAACTCAAGATTGGATTTGAGTCCAGCTCTCCGAAGGCAGAAGAGTAGTCCCTGCTGTAGAAGGTTAGAGCATTTAAGGCTCTCCATTTCAGCACGCTCTTGTTCATCTAGAGAAGCTGCAGTGGGGAAGAGAGCCCTAAAGTAAATGCATCTTGCGCACCTGCAACTGTTTTATTGTTTCACCTCCTTTGCCGATGACTAGACCCACTTTGGATGCCGGGATCAAAATCTCCTGAATCGTACTGTTGCCATCAACATCGTTGTGAAAACCAGGTCCGTTCCGACAGCGATCTACAATCTGCCCCAGTAGCCGTTTTGCTTGTCTTTGGAAAAGAATCGAGGGAAACAACCATTAGACAACATTGTTCCACGTGACCAAGAGACCAGGAACCATCGAAATGGGAAGCGATTGGGGAGAGGAGAAGAGGTGAAAAGATGAAGGAAACCACAGTTAGCACAATGTTTGCTTTTTTTTTTTTTTTTTTTAATCTGATGTATATTTTCCCCTATCATGATTACTTATAAGCAGTCTGACTTTTGAAAGGGGAAGAGAGAAGGAAGAGCAGCAGCATGCTCTTTGGAAGTTATGGATAACAGTTGAACTACAGCATTTGGGGTGCTTATTTTGAATGAAGATGCTCTATGTTCTAAACTTATTCTAAGCTTTTTTCAACATACATATATATATACACACACAATATTTGGTAAAACTCAAGCTCTGTTTGTCTTTGTCAAGACAATAACCACACACTGCTCTGATAGTAGCACAGCACATTGTTTAACCACTCTCTGATCAGTCACAGGCAACTGCCTTGCTCTTCTCTGCCTGCTCTTACCAGCAGCACCAGAACACTGTTCTAACACAGCCTCTGCCCCAAGCAGTAGGTGCTGAAGCTACACCGCGAAGCGAGGCAAGGATACTGCAGCAGCAACAACCAGTGAAAGACTGGGTTCTTCTACTCCTGGTGAGAAGAGACAGACACAAAGAAGCATTTGGGAGATTAAAGATACCTTCTCTAAAATCTTTAGCATGTCAGAGGTAGCTGATAAGGGTTCCCTTCACCTTGAAGACCCCTAGTACCAACACATCTCTTTCCTGCTCTTCTCCAATAACCCTTCTCCAAGTAGGCAGAAGAAAGGCACTGGTTCCCTATTCAGCCTAAAGCAGTGTCTTTCCCTCTTTCCACTTCACCCCAAGCCATATCAGGCACCCTAGGAGGGCTGTCTTCTCTCTGGAGATTTGAAGAAACAGTATAAAGTCATCTCTCACCAACATTCACCCAAGACAGCTCAAGGGGTGGTGACCTGAGGCTGCACACAGATCAGAGCACTGCTTTCCCCTAACTTTCCTCATAACACAAGGCAAAAAGCAGGATTTCTGGCAGACCACTTGTAGTATTCTGGAAGAATCTTAATAGGTTCTATTAATCTATCTTCATATTTTGCATAAAATTCTTTTAGTGATAATACAGAGACTACAAAAGAAGTCTGACATCTAGACTGGTTTTCTTACTTGATTTTCTTTTTCTACAAGTAGCCTGAAAAAACAGTACAAACAAAAACCTTAAGAATTTCACCACAAAAGTAAATTAAATTTCATCTAATTCCATACCCTCAACACCTTGCTCTGCTTCAGAAATTGAGTATTCTCACTTTTTTTACTTATTTATATTTTATTTAAAAGACAGCCTTGGACATGACTACGCTTAACCACTCATTTCTGAACCATGAAGTCTTAACTATACCTCTCTCCCATTTTCTCCCAACTGCATCTCATCAGGCATCCCAGCTTTTTAATATTTTGCTCTTGTTCTGAAATATCATTTGCTAAAGGGGGAAAAGCACTTCAATATCAGCAAGAATACATTGCCTGCCCTATAATGTGAGCTTGCCAATTATATTTATTCTGGCTCACTGCTTGCAGTATTATGGTAGAATAAGGAGATTTAAGTACCCTTAGATCTCTTAGGAATGGAAGAATGATGAGAGTCTTCTCTTTAGAGAGACAGTTTTTGTGCCCATGTATTTTCACTATCAAATGCAACTCAAAGATTTTCAGATGGATTTTAAAAAACCCACCTACCCAAAGGCTGGGGAGAGAAAGAGCAGCTCCATATGTTAAGTGTGTTCCTGTAAGCCTGAGGATCCTGGATCCAGTTCCAGCAGGAGGTCCTCAACTGGTTTGTGAGAGTCTCAAACTCAGCTCCTGGGAAGGGGGAGGGAGGAAACACTGTCCCTAAAGTTTCTATAGGCCTAAAGAGTAGAAACCCCTGCTGGCTGGCCACGTGTCTCTACCATGCAGGGATCAGAATTCAAGACTTTGGTTCAGTCCTTTGCTTCTTGTTGGCAGCGATGCAGAGGCAAGCGCACCCGTGGGCCTCACGCTGCTCTGCAACACCAACACCTCCAGACTACTCTGGAGTGGCACCGACAGGCTTTGGAGGCCTCATGCAGCCCTTCTTCAGCTGGAAGGATGGTCATCTCAATAGGAGTAGGGAAGCGAAGGGGAGAAGAGAAGTGCCCTTCAACAGCTTAGCTCGGTACCCTGAAAGCTGCAGTTAGAAAACTGCATCCTAGGTGCCCTAAGAGCAACCTTGCCCTGCGGAGGGGAATTCCACGGGGATTTCTGCAGAGGGTTCAAACTGCAACTGGAAAAAAAAGCCTTTGAGGTGCACAGTTTAAAGCATCAGACCAAGAGGTTCTATGCTCCAGAGACCCTCAAGTTTCTCTAGGCCAACATTTGTTGGTGTGGCTAACCAAGGAGCACCACTGACAGAGCACAGCATTAGGGAGAAGAGAGAGAAGGAGAAACGAGAGAAACTAAATCAGAACTCACTCAATGCTCTCTGGTGTCCCGGTGAGCACACAGGGCCTCTCGGGCATCCCACCACTGTCTACAAAGGGAACAAGAAGACAAGTTTTAATACATGGAATAGAAAAAAAAATGGCAGCTGTTTCAGTAACTGTTAAGCATTCATGGAAGCACCCCCTCTCCTGCACACAAAGCATGTTAATGAATTCAAAGACATCCAGGGTCAACATATTTTAAATGATTTGCTGGATGTCTGCATTCTTTCAAAGCTTTCCCCACCAGTTAAAGGTGAACTTAGATTACATTCATCAACAGTTTCCTGCACAGCACTGTAGTACAGTCTCCCCCTAAGCAAACAGGCACTAGCACAAAGCAAATGGATGCTCCCACTTTTTCGATGCATGGCGAGTTGCACAGAGAGCTGCTGCCACCCTCCTGAAATGTCTTCTGCCAGGACTTGGAGCTGACCAGACTTACCAGAGACAAACCATCTGCGCTGAACAAAGCGGTACCATCAGGAGAAAACTCAACAGCTACAATTTCGGGTCTAGTTAAAGACTGTTCCTTGTTTCATTCCCCAAACCACCTGACAAACCTGTTTTCTACGGCAGTCAGGAGGTCTCAGTCCTACGACAGCTCTCCCATGCACGTTAGCCCAGAATATCAGTTGTTAACGGTGATAACGTCACGAGCACGGCAAGGCACCTGATCTAATGGACACAACACCCTCCCACATTCAAACCTGTTCATCCGCCATACAAAGAGGCTCTTACCTGGAGCAATTTGAATTTTGCAGCCAGACTCTGCCTGAATCCGTGAGATCTGCTCACCTCCCCTGCCGATTACTGAAATGAGTTCAACAAGCGTCAGAACATACCATTTTTCCTGAGTAACTGCAGAGCACCTTCCCCCTTTTACTCCACTGCAGCTATCTATAAAGGAACAGTTTGACTCCAGGATTGCAGAAGAGGCATCCACAGCATGATCAAATTTATCATAAAGAGAAAAACATTAAGATACTGCCGAAAGTTATTCTATTTGCTTAGGAAAAAAAAACCCCACCAAAACAAAACAAAAAAATCCCGTCTCAAAAAAAACCCCACCAAAACAAAACAAAAAATCCCATCTTGCACTGGAATGGAAATACACAGTATGCAAGAACTAGTGTGAGTACTGCTAGAAAAAGATGTTGTTCAGCCTGAACCAATAAACCAGTTATTTATACTTAAAAAGGCAAGAATTTTTTTTCCCTTTCTTTAAAATTCATATTTTACTACCCCTTTTTGTTCAGCCTGAACCAATAAACCAGTTATTTGTACTAAAAAAGACAAGGACTTTTTTTTTCTTCTTTCTTTAAAATTCATATTTTACTACCTCTTTCCAAAGGACATGCTATTTGGCTGGTCTGCTCTCAGACAAAACTGCTACATCGTGAAATGCTCTATCAAACCCTCAGTGAAAACAAATACCCATCTCTCAACTCCCGGAGTCGGCACGTGGTTGTTTCACAAGGAGACATATCAGGGAGGGACTATGTGCCAATCACCATTCACATCCTTCCCAGACTCCAAAAAAGAGCAAAACTGTCAAGTTAAACAGGTCTGCCTGGCTCAAAATGCTCCCATAGAAGTATCTCTGAGGGTTTGCCACCTGCCTTCATCTGTCTGCCCCTGAACCAGGATTAGATATAACACGTAGACGATGCACCAACAGAGCACACAAACTCCTCTTTCAGAGTTACAGCATCCCTCAGAAATCCCCCAAAATGTGTGGGACCTGGACCAATATATAAAGGGGTCTGGCAGGAGAAGAACGAGCGTTTCCTTTGCAGAAATTCAAGTTACAGTTTTATAGAGTCTTTAGAGTCAGGACAAAACTTCACACACTAAGGGGTAATTATCACGGCCCGTTATTTCCCTGTCTGCCTGGCTCAAAATGCTCCCATAGAAGTATCTCTGAGGGTTTGCCACCTGCCTTCATCTGTCTGCCCCTGAACCAGGATTAGATGTAACACGCAGACGATGCACCAACAGAGCACACAAACCCTTCTTTCAGAGTTACAGCATCCCTCAGAAATCCCCCAAAATGTGTGGGACCTGGACCAATATATAAAGGGGTCTGGCAGGAGAAGAGCGAGCGTTTCCTTTGCAGAAATTCAAGTTACAGTTTTATAGAGTCTTTAGAGTCAGGACAAAACTTCACACACTAAGGGGTAATTATCACGGCCCGTTATTTCCCTTTTTATTCTCCATATATCAAATCAGAAGAGATACACAGCGATCTAGCAGTGGAACAGTCTATGCAGTCACTGTAGTAACACAGCAGCAGGAGGTGCCATTGAAAGGAAGAGTAATGATCATCAAGAGGAAGAAAGAAATTAGGATCAAGCTTGAAAGAGAACAGCATCAGGAATGCAAATCTAGGAAGAATTCTCATCTGAGCACGGCATGCTTGTTGTGTTTCCCTGCAGCAAATGTATGAGAGATTTACAATTCTGTTTAACTTGCCTTGAATCAACTCTTATTTTAACATTTAAATATTGTTTTCCTCCCTCAGCTCTCACAGTTTTGCATGCTGTAAGGAAGCAAGATATTTCAGTGAGAGGAAACAAATTCCTTTCTGACTTGTTACACACTATGCAAGTGGGAATTTAAAGGAGAGGATCACTAAAGCTCTCGGTAACTTGCACCACACAGTCTTGTTCTTATTAGTGGGACACCAAGCTTTTCCATACACTTTGCACCTGGATTTTAAACACAGATCATCTGGTCCCCATGAAGACAGCATTAGATAAGGCTTATCCAAAGCTAGGAAGCACGAAAACTGGCGAGCATGTCAGAATAAACAGCATTCCTGCACAGAAAACACATCAAAAAAACATATCAAAAGCATCCAAGGTACTTACTAAATCCAACCATTTTATCAGGCACTTTGAACTCTTCTGTTATTACAGCCCTAAAAAAAAAAGGAAGAAAAAAAAATCAAATAGTCATTAAAGAGAAAAGTTGGAAGACAACTATGGCCCTGCCATGGAAACCAGGCACAGCATAAGGCTTTTGCACACACAAGTAAACACGGCACCACAGCCAAAACCACTCTCTCTCGTGGTCACCTAATTTCTCCTACACTGGATACATTTCCAGTCTTCACTGTCTTCAGTGGAGCTGACAGAGTGCCTCTTTTTGGCATTCTTGCTCTAGACAGATTTAATGGAATAACAGCAAAGTTTCTTTAATATTTAGCCTAAACCTTCCAAGCCACATTCTCTCCCCTGCTACCTCTGGATATGCTCTTGCCAGGAGACACTAAGCAAAGCCAATCCTGACCTGAATGCCTCCTCCAAAATTTACAGATTTTTATTTTTTTGCCTGCCTGTCCTTATCATTCTTTTCCTTGGAATTTATAAAAGCTGTCTTCAATTATCCTTTGAAGTCTTATTATCTCAAGACTTCCATATCTATTGCTCTTTGGACTTTTTCAATGTGTCTCTGCCTCAAAACAGAGTGCCCAAAGCAATTTCCTAAGACCTGACCATAGTCAAGTACAAAGGAATTACCTTCGATGGATTTTTGCTTAGCCATTTCTATCTGGTAGGAAATATGACACAATGAATATGGAATGTGCAAACTCAATATACTTAGATATGCATTATATACAATTTGTTCAGCAATCTCAAAAGCAATGAAACGCCTGCATAATAAGCCCAATGCAGGTTTTGTGGTGAGGTATATTAAAATCTTCCCATTTTTTCTTTAGATGAGTTAGAGAAGGTATAAAAATACACATTAGACTCCATCAGTTAACCTGCAGGTAAATTACTCTCTGCTGTCCTGAGGACCACCAGCAGAGATGCAAACTCAGTGCCACCCATACCCATAGCAGAACAGGAAGGTTCAGAATTATATTTTTTTAAACCAAGAAAAAACCCCAGCCTGTTGCCAAAACATCCTATCCTGAATCATTTATTAACCACCCTGTGTTGGAGGAATGGCTGCAGAGGGACGAAGAAGCTAATGTAGCAAAAAACCAACCACCAAACCCGGAAAAAAACCCCAATTCAGGCTTTTCAGCCTAATCAGTTCCCTACATGAACATCCCTCCTGGCAGAGGAGAGGTGGCAGGCAGCAGCAGGGCAAACATTGCTGCTGCTGCCCTGACGGGACATTAGCTTTAACATAACCACTAAAAACTGAAGGTTCTACAGCCTTCATGGGGATCCCTTGCCCACTCTTTGAGGCCCCCAGCAAACAGCTGCTTAAGAAGGAAACACAGTACTATTAGCCCAAAGGTGAATCCAGCTTTAGAAATGTTCTCCCCTCCCTACTCCAAACAAGACAGACAACTCCTTAAGATCAGGATTCGAGAAAACCTGAGAATTTTACTTTTCTATTAGATGCTAAGACATGCTGCACGACAAATCATACTTGCTTTAGTCTCCCGAAACTATCTTTGACAAAGGAGTCATCTCAGGTCATATGACATCAACAAAACAAACAAATAATGATAATAAAAAAAAAAATCTACCTGCCCATTTAATACTTCCAACTTTTGTCAAAGTGCCAGTGCTTTATTTACTTTTTCTTTCTCCCCGTATCCCAGGCAGGGAAAGGGAGAGGAGAGAGAATTTATTCTTCTCAGTCCTGCAGATTTACAGGAACCAAATCCAAGTTTCACATCAACTCTTCTTTCTTCAAAACAATAAACAGCCTTAAAGCATTAGCAGAAACCCCAGCCTGGAGAAAACCTAAGCTGACAGTTTCTCCACATTCTCAACCTCTAACTTCCTAACACTACTACAGATGGTGGATCAATAAACAATTAGAATTGATCAATAAATAATAAAACATAACCCACTGCTTACCTTTGATGTACCAGGGCCCCTAACTGGTTACCTACTGTGGCAGAGAGAGAAAAAAGGAAAAAAATCAAAGCATTAGCACGGATAAACTAACTTCATCCCTATAGAAAAAGAGTTCTTACCATTTCATCAAAAAAGAAAGAAAAGCAAAACAGTAATTTAGGTTCAGTGGCTGAAATGAATGCGTTATGTGGTATAAAACAGGAGGGGATTTCTTGATCAACACACACCATAACCCAGTGTCCAGCTGAACACAGGATAGGGAATTGATCCGCGTCTCCCCATGCTGAGACATGGGAGAAAATCCTGCCTGCCCAAATCCAAATCCCTGCAACTAACTCCCCCCTCCCCTTCCCAAATTAAACCCAAAGTAGTAAAAAAAGGGAAAAAAAGAGGGGGGCGAAGGAGGAGGGAGAAGAGACATTTCAAGCAGACTGGTATGTATTAAAAAACAAAAAATAAAAGCTGAGCTGCGAGATTCAGTCTAGGCAAAAGGCATGACAGAGTTCTTGTACATACTTCTCTCTGTGTCTCTTATCTGTGCTCCATGGAGCCCACCTACACGGAGACCTGTTAAAGGAATGGCTCTGTTAAGTAACCTCGTGGCACCCAAACAGTATTTAAGAAGAAAAAAAAAATCACCACATTTTACTGAACACACACATTCCAGGCATATCTGCGATGTTAGCTAGGGTCCATTTATGATTAGCAGTTATCTCCCCAGCTGAAAACCCTCAAACAGATTTCTGCTCCCCCCCCCTGCTAACCCCCACAGATTAGATCTTTCTTCCAAACGTTAATGGGGAAAATATCATTAGACCAACTCATGCAAAGTGGGAACACATGCCCTGCTGGGCTTCCTACTGGACTTTGCCTGCAGCAAACCAGCTAAAAACCAGACCATTTGGTCCTAACAACCAGTTGAAAGATTATATTGCATGCCTGGAGGGCACGAGTAGTGAAACAAATGAAACCGGCCAACATGTGAGCTGTGATAATAAAGATGCAGTGTCAAACTCCCTTGCAGAAACCTGCACATTCTTTGACCTGAAATAAATTGGCAATCAGCCGGCAGGTTTAGAAAGCGGATGCATCCCACACTCTCTAAATCCGGCAGAAAAATGCATAAAGTTTGTGGCCAAACACTTTACTCAAATAAAATAGACAAAGAGAGTCAATACTGTATTTCTGCTGCGTGTCAATACCTTCATAATAGTTCAGGACCAAAATATTGACAGCATATATATTTTATTACTCTCCCCAGCTCGGTGATAAGACAACTGCTGCGTTATCGACTCTGTTAGATTTGTCTTTGCATATTCTCGCCTTGAATATAAAAAGCTCTAATTTGATAACTATCAATACTGCAGTTGAAAAAGGTGGGTGATGTAATGGGGAATATTTGCTCTCGCTGATAAGCTACTACTGCAGAGCTGAGCAAATACGGCCAAACAAATGCAGGATCTCGCCATCTTGCCCCAAACTGTGCTCTGAATATTTTAACTACACGCAATAGGTCTGGTGGCTACCCCTGAGCTGACGTATGGGATTGCCCTCGCCAGGGACCAGGCCACTTATTATCCCAAGATGCCAGAAAAAGTGGTCTTAACACTACAAGGCTGTATTTAAATACCCACTTCGCATTTCAATTCGCCGTTAACAGCTCTCTTAGCCCGTCTCTTCCACTGCAGCCGCTGCCCACAAATTATGAGACAGATACACATCCTATAATCAACTCCTGAAGTTCACACAAGGAGCCAAAGAGCCTTCATTTTGTAACACAATCCTACACTTGAAAAAAGACAACTTCTTTGGGGAAAACTGTACGAGCACAAGAAGTTAAATCAGTCAGGGAAATAAAGCTCTAGATGTATGTAACAGTGTCTCCAACCTCTTCCAAGTACTATGCAAACATCCTACGAACCACCCGGGGCAGATATCAGCCTTGCTGTATATTTATTGCACAAATTAGTTTAAAGAAAAATTAAGCTGCAATAACTTATGTGCAAGATCATTCCTTCCACATTTCACAGATAACCTCTGCAAGAGCTGAGGCAGAAGGCAGATGGAGAGAGCTGGGAGTGATTTACTTTAAGTCAGTTATGATTTCTCTCTGTTTTAAGAAGAAAAAAAAAAAAAGAAACAACGTGGCTCCCAGTTCCAACAACCTAAAGGTCCATTCCTTCCCCAACATGCCCATTTTGCTCCAAAAGACAAGGGCTGATGGAGAGGCAGGGCTGGGGCAGTCCATGCTCCCTGCAATACTGAATGCTGATGTTGTGTTGTTCCACCATCTCCCTCTTCATTCCAGGGAAGGGGCTGAACTCTGACAAGCCACGTACGTATTTCCCCCTTTTACATCTATTGAGTACAATTTAACTGTAACTGCAGTCATTTTACTGCAAATAAGGAAAAATACTGAATAAAATCAGCACAATTTCCTATTAATGGCACCTGCTGGTTGATAACTCTTCACTCTGCTTTAGGCTTCACCTTAACTGAATTCTACCTAACAGACACTCAAAACAAATGCGGATTTTTTTTCCACCCCATAAAACAGAGCAGTGCCTCCCACTAAATTAATGTGCATGATGGGAATATGCAATCTCCTCAAGAATATCTTCATGGCTAGAATAAAATCAGAGCGCTGCATCTCCTGGAGAGGAACACAGTTGCCTTTTATACTTCTGAACCAAAATGGGATCATCATACATTTCAGAAAGCTACAAGGAAGATATTAGTTACCCTAATTAAATATTGCTAGGTTTTTCTTTAATTAAATAGTCAAAACCTAATAATTTTCATGACTGCCTTTACTATAAATCTTTTTTTCCCCTCCCTTAAACTGCCTTATTTAAAAAACTGCTATCTGTAAAGTTAAAATTTTGAAGAACAGGGGCATTTTGTGTATCACACTAAACCTTTTGCTGAGACCTCTGGTCTTTTGCCCTGGTCCTGCTGCTGCTACAGATGTGTCAAGGAGCACCACTACTAACTTTCATCAGCAGTAAGACAGGGATAAGATTTCCTTCTGCCCATCACTATTTTTATTGAAAACATGTCAGAGCAAAAGAATAAAGTATTCTGTACAACAGGATCGTGTTGTGTTTGAGCCCCTCGGCTCTACTACAATCAGGTTTTATTACACCAAAACTGGCCATCTTCATATCTGGATGCACCACAGAAGCCTGGGGAAGCAGGAGGTGGGGAGAGTGGGGTGTGAGGCTTCTCCAAGGTCTCTCATCTTTTTTTTTTTCCCCACAGACTCAAAGGATGCTCCAGCCTTCAGCTGCAACACTGCTGCTTAACCCTACATGTATCACTGGAAACTTCTTCAAAGCAGTCAAAACCAGGGCAAACAAAGGCTAACGCTCTGGCAATCAGTCTTCTCTCCAGCAGACCAGATCCCTGCTTCCTTAGAACAAAAGGAAACTGTTTCTTTAAGGATTATTTAGCATTAAATAAACTTATTAAATTGTGCTGGTAATCAGAGGGACCCATTAATTAGAAAGGAGGCCAGGAACAGCTGTTTGCCATTAATAGGAAGGCTGGGATCTATCCTCAGCAAGATGCCACCAGGTCTCTCCACAGCTCAGACCAACCCCATCTCTAGTTCTCACCTTCACTGAGAAACATTAACGAAAGCAAGTGGCCATAGAAATGCCGACTGTGACTTCCCACAAGCAGTACAAATAAACCTGATCTCCTTCCTGGACTATAACTATTTGCAGCATTACTTTAAAGCTGTTTCCAGAAAGGGGAAATAAAGCAGCCAGGGAAAAGAGAAATAATCAGTCTCCATCTGATACCAATAGGCCAGGTCACCGGGGCCAATCCCAGCAGATCTTCCTTTCAGATGAGGGTCATGTTAAGGGAAGCACAAAAGGCACTCAGACATTCTGATTTCCAATACTACAACAAATCTATTTTTCCTGGAAATGCTCTAAAAGCAGCTGAATTTGTTTTGACCAGCGCACCGTCACCCTGTCTTAAGACCACTTCCTAAGCTGACATCAATCAGCCACACCAGCAGCTGTTTACAGAAATGGACAGGCAGAATTAGATTTCCCTGAAAGACAGACATTTTTCTTGTCACCTTAAATACTTCCTCTGGACCCAATTTTTTCAGGAGCATTAGGAACAGAAGTAATTTTCTAACAGCTACACGGGGATGAGGAAACAGCGAGACCTGCATCCAGCCGTGAATACGCGCTATACAGAGGTAAACAATTCAAAGAGTTACCACCAAATTTGTTTCTAAGCTATCCAGAATAGCAGAGTGTATCCAAACCCCCGCACTATAAAATTTCTAGACTATGCATAACAACATAAATAGTCACTTCTTGACAACAATGTCTTCACACTGTGGTTCACAGGCAAGCAGAAAATGGCTAAGAATATGGGCATGCAATCCTGACATCCCTTGTTCACTGCTAAACCGAGAAATAAACCATTATCCAAATGGGAAGTGCTTTCCTAATTTGAAGGGAATTGCCATCTTCCAGATGCTTAAAGCTAAAGCTGCATTTATAGACTTTTAACATCACGGCAGCAAGAGCAGGTAGCCTAAGACTAAAGTATAGATCCTACCACAAACAAATACAGAGCAAGTAGCACTGGCAGCTTCAGGCATCCCTTTGCCAGGCTGCAGTTAGAGAGCAGTGCAGGAGGACTCTGTGGTTAGGTGGGCAACTCTTCACACAGCTGAATTTCAGTACAGGACCTATTAATGTCATTAGAAATAAAACCCAAGATGACCAAAACTGAAAGCAGCGATACAATCCTTGCTCCTACCCTGACAATTCCCATTTCTTTGCAAAATTCCAGCCCTTTAAAAAAATATTACTTCCATCATTTCTCTTCTCCCCTAAGATCTTTCAGATCAGATTTTTGGGAAGGGAATCGGGCAGTTATAAAGCCCTGGAGCTATTTTAAAAACAGTTATAGACAAGGCTCAGTGCTGAACTACAGGGTGAGCAAACACCTGCAGGTCCTTACATCAGCAGAACCAGTGCCAAGAGAGGAGCCAGGGCACAGTCACTCCGGAATGGTACCTGCTCCATGGAGTCATCTGTCACAACACAAGAAACCAGCAGTAACACACATTTATAGCCCAGACTGCAACTGTATTGACATGGTTTGTGTCAACACAAACAAAGCTCAGCAAGTACTAGGGCTCACCAGTAAAAGTTTAAGTACAAAGTTTAACTTGCGCTGTCATTAAATGCTACGACCATTTCACGTGTTAAAAGTTCATAAAAAAAAAGCCAAACCCATTTTGTCGTGAGGTCAGATTTCTCAGTTCAGTCGGATGAATCAATGAAAGAAACAGGCGAGGCTAATGTTATGAATGACTAGTTCCTAGAAGGCTATTTTTATTCTTTTTCACATCCAGCCACTTATCTAAGCTATCCAGACACAGCTCAGAGTTGCTGGGCATTACACGCTGAACAGCCTGCTGAGCACCTTCCCGGACAGAAACCAGCACATACCAGTAATACCAGGCCTCAGGCTTCTCATGAACATAGTGATGCTCCAGTCTGAGACACAAGGCAGAGGGGCTCACCCAGACAAACCCATTCTTTCCTAAAAGATCAAACCAAAGCAGCAGCAACCTCTTCCTCAAACAGAGCCAACACCAGAGAACAAAGTGGGCTGTGGCACGTGCTCAGAAAACAGTAACGTTAGCAACCCAGAGGCTCCACGTGAAAGCAACTTCTCCCCATCCTCCAGCACGTTTTTTCAGAAGGAGAAGCAGACCTGCAGTATTTTCAGCCTTCGTATCAGACAAAAAAAATTATTTTCAAAATGAAGTGGTAGGCAGCAATTTTGCTTATTTCCTCAGTACTCCTGAACCTATCTGTGGGGGACAGAATCACCCTGCAGGGCTACCCGTGTCAATAAAAACACTAGAGGAAATAGGAAAAGGAAGACATAGCCACATTTGGTTTTTATAACCAGCCACAGGAAAAGGTGAGCTCTTTGTATGTATACAGCAGCAGATAACACGGTTTAAACACTTCTTGTAACAGTGCATATCATTAGATTTATAAAAAAGAAAACACCTGTTCTAACATTTTTGTTGTTCCTGCCAAAGAAACTAATAACATATTTTAAAATTGTAACACAATATTAGCTCATTACAGTTACCAGTAAATAATTCTTTGGCTGTGGCCAATGTTAAATACTTCAGAGATTTAAGAATTCTCAAAGAATAATTATGAAAAAAGCTAAGACTAATATGTAAATTTCCCTTCCAGCTTGCATCAACTTACAGCAATATCTTTTCTCCTTGAAATTCATGGACAAAGCAATCAGAACTCTTGACAGCAGCTCAACTACTGTGCTGTGACCATGCTACCCATGGAAAGGAGCCCATGTAGTACTGTCCCTGTACACTGCCTCCTCTCAGAAAACAAGGATTGTCAGGGAGGAACAGCTTTACTATGTATACCTGCTACTCTATAGACAGGCTCCAGCACAGTTCCAGTAAGCACATCCCCCTCCTTCCCCCCTGCCCCAACTAGCATAGAACAAGATTTAAACTACACAATTTCTTTGCTAATTCCCAGAGTCCATGAACTAAGAAATAATTGCTTCACATTAATAATACTAATGCTTAGGAGCCCTGTGCTATCGATAGGCAAGACTAAACAGCACAAGGAATCTTGTATGAAATTTCTATACCCAGAAAGATGCACTGATTGCTGTCCTTAAAGCAGACACCTGCTTCCATAGATAAATTTCAGGAGCTGCATCCACAAGATTGACTAATCACAGCCAGCTTACCTCCATCATCCAGGGGCCGTTTCTGCACTCCATAACCGTAGACGGATGGGTCCACAAGTGTTGTAGAATTATTCAAGTGAGGAATATCTCCAATTTTAGCAGCAATCTATAAAACCAGGGGATAAAAGTATGATTAGCATACCTGAAGTTTCAGCCACCAGAGCTAAACACTCTTTCTTGCAATAAAGCATTTGCCCCAGTCTCTCAGCTATTTACTATATAGGTGGTTTTGTAACAGTTCAAAGACATCAGTGCTTCATTTGTAAAGTAAACAATTTTCTGCTTGCTTTTAATATTTGTTTAATTAAGAACACATTTACCCAGTTCCTCTTCCTGATCATAAGTAGGTATTTACTCCCTGGAACATTATATTCAGGTTTGTTCACTCAAACAAGCTGACAAGCTAAATCTTGCAGAGTTGAAACTAGCTCACCAACTTTATGGAGAGGCTGCCACCACCATAACCACGTAGGAGGACACATGCTTCCTCCTGTGCCCATGAATAGCCAGAAACATAGAAACACACACTTGCACAGCAGCGGGGGAGCAGAGGGAGAAGAACATGAAAATACACAGCACAAGGACAGGTTTGGGAACTTCTCGTCAAAGATACTGGATCCGCCCTGTGTTTACTGTATGAAGGATAAGGCAGTGGGCAAACTGTTAGCCCAGAATTAGTTTCCATTTCCTGCAGCCATCAATATAGCACGAAGTCAACTAACACTCCGTGTGCCTCTGCTTCCACCCCATGCAGGGGGTAACAGCCATTCCCTGTCAAGGCACGATGCAAGAAGGATGTTTATGAGAATGAGGAGACAGTCAGGTATCACAGTATGAGGACTAAGGGAAGCAAATAAACCAGGTGAGAGAGAGACCTAAACAGCGCTTAATTAAAAGTGAAAAGTTAAGCTCGTCTCTAATGAAATTTGGGAGACATCTGTACAGAGAGATGCTGAGAGAAGCAAGCTCTTTCTTTCCCCTACTCTCCAAGCAAACTGACATGAGCCCACTCTAGGAACATGCAGGTGCATTAGTTCTGCACCCCAGTTAATACCCCCCTCAGGGACAGGCACACTGCAGCCTCACAGCACCCCTCGCCTACATAAAGTACTTTGCTGTAATAAGTAAGTGCAGAACAAAGTAGTTACAGAACAAATATAAAGCACTGAGTATTCTGCAGCATTTGCTTCCTTTTCCAGTAAAAAGAAAACCATTGAATAGGATTCTTTACTAAGAGTCTGATCTCACTCTATTATAACCGGGATTTCACCAGAGAATAAGCAACAAGAACAGATAAAAGAGCATTTTACACAGATCTGTTTTAAATGAAGACAAGGGCAAACGACAAATAGAACCAAAGATGTTTCTAAAATTTGAGTTTTACTGCAACAGAAAGACATCTACAGTAACTCTGGTTGTTGACACTATCTGCTGCTGCAGTGGAATAAACAACTGCCCAAGATTCAGAACCACAGGGTACTGAAAAAAAGCTATTTGAAATAATCTTGAAAGATTGAGGGCACTGCTTTTAGAAAGAGAATTGAACACATTCTCTTCACTGCCTTGCATGAAAAGAGCTCCAAGTTTTGACCATTTTCTTCTCATAGCACATTCCTTCTTGTCCTCTTTCAGAAAGTCAACAACTTTGTTGTGTCAGAAATGCCAGGAGCTAGAGAATAAAAATCTTCCTGCAGGACCAGCACAGCGATCATATAGCAAAGCTTTGATGACAAGCACCTTGTGTATCATCTCCAAAACCTAACAGGGCCACAGAAAGCTGATTCTGAAAGCCTTAACACAGACTACCCCAGGGCCACTCCACACTAGGGAGTGCCAGGTGATGCCTTGATTTTTTTTGTTGAAAACTGTACTATATCCATGATTCCAGCCCTCTGCCCACATCCCTTACGTGTGGGATGCAGAGGATTTTAAGGGAGGTACAAAGAGCACAGACATTTCCTGACTACTTCCAGGCTGAAAAATAAATGTAAGTTTCTTTCATAACGATCTATTAACAGCTTTCACCTAATAACTTACAAATGTATGCCAAAAAGAACTGTGTCAGGTATAACATACTCTGGCACATTTTAGAACATTTGATTTTGACATGACCTTCATGAACCCTCCTTCTCTAAGTAGTTATTTAAAAAAATCTCTAAGTTGTGGAAACTGCTAGCTGATAGTTTGGAGCCGAAATCACACATCGCAAGTTCAAGGGAAAGAAAAAAAAGTGGAAGGAAGGTAGTATGAAACACAAAGGTGTGCATGTTGTGGAAACTGCTAGCTGATAGTTTGGAGCTGAAATCACACACTGCACGTTCAAGGGAAAGAAAAAAAGTGGTCTGTGGAGAGCAGAAGGAAGGTAGCATGAAACACAAAGGTGTGCACAAACAGATCACCAGCACTAAGGCTGTCCCTTCCCAGAGCAGGAGGGCTCTGCAAACCCCTCCTCGTGCTCAGCACACCATTATTGTCCTGGCACAAAACTCTCCAAGTAAAGGGCAAAATAAGAAAGTCAAAGCAATTTTTACATTATCAGCTTTTGGGAAGTTTTCCTTTTTTTTTTTCCCTCTCTTTCCCCTCCTCTATTTAAACTTGCACCCTTATCTCTAAAGCCTCCCAGCTGCCACCAGATTACACACAGACAACGCGCCACCTCACTGCAGCAGGAAAAAATACCCTGCAAAATTAAGAGTTGAGCTTTTAAAGTGGATGTAACTGTTAAAATATATTTTAACTTCTTATGTTACAACTTAAAAATGGGAACCTCAGTTTTTACCATTGGTTCAGCAGGGAGATAAGCACCAAAGTTAGAACACAGCAAAAGTAAGCAGACCTAGCCCTTATCTGACTAAATGACCTTGAGTAATGTACTGCTAGCCAGGGCTTTTGTCCCGCTCTATGTCAGTCTTCATTTTTCTTTCCTTTTTCTGAACCCAACACGTTTATTTTAGTAAGGCCTGAAATAAACAGAAGAAAAGCACCCCTATCACAGAACTGTTTCTGCATCTCATTTCCCCCAAATAAAGCTCTCCAACAAACACTTTAAAGGACACAATGCAAACCTGAGCTACAAATTGCAATGTTAAAGCCAAGAAAACCAAACAAAATAACCCATGGAGTTGTGTTTTCCTATACCTTGCACGTCTGTCCTCCTACACCTTTAACACCCTTTAAAATGGTGTAATACCAAAACACTTTTAAATAAGCTTCTCTGCTGGGCACAGCAGGATTCAAACACCAAGATCTGCAGAATTCAGCTTTCAAGAGCAAGAGCCTAGTGTCTGGGAAGAATCTCTCCGTGCTGTCCTGCAAAAGAACAGCAACCAGTAAAATCACCAATTCTAGGTATTAGCAGGACATAAAACAATAAGACACTGTCACTTGAACTCTCGAGACAATCCTAGTGCTTCTGCTGCTCTTCCCAGTCATCAAGTGGAATATTCAAGCTTGTGTGATGGCTATTTCTCCAAAGCTCTGTAGGAAACAGCAAAACCACCAACAACCATTTAAGTTTGATACTACAGTAATCACAAAGCCCTAAATCTATTTGAGGATGATCTGAAAAAGTACTCTGCAAGGGGATAGAGAAACATGTCTTAAGACCCCTCCATTCCCCTAGAAATTTTAAGTTAGAACCTGATAATAGAAAGGGATTTTAAATATACAGCATGCTGACTCTCAGTAAGTCTCAGGATATTCCTCCACTTTCAAAAGTACCCAAGATGGCACACTACAGGCTCACCCAGCCACAGCCTTTCCTCTTCATAGCATTCCCAGAAATTCAGGTTCAGACAGTACATATGGCAGGTTACAAGAAGAACAGCACACGTATGAAGAAGGGCCCAGTAAGTGCTGCGAAAGCATTTGTTGTATTGAAAATGAGACTTCCCAGGAGAACAGGAGAGGGTAAGAACCAAGCAAGACACTGTTTTGTCAATACGAACAGGACTCAAGGACAGTCTGACAGAAATCCATTTTTGCCCAAAGTACAGGCAGCTCTGCTTATTTTATGATCCCTTTACTCAAAACGGGAGCAAACATCCTTTCTCTCTCTCTCTGCTCCCCAAATGCCACAGAAGAAAAGCCACCCTGCCTAGGAGCAGGTGGACAGATCAACTACCACCTGTGATCCACCAACTAATCCACTCGCTTGAGGTGTGATGCAGAAGATGCAGGAAGGACCATCTCAAAGACATAGCATTCACTTGAAAAAATAATTTTTCATACTTCACAAATATTTAAGAGGCCACAAAAAACCCCCAAAGCAAGTCCAGCACAAACACTGAACGCAATGTACAACTCATTTCTTTCAAAGGCATTCCAGATTTCTCACTCTTATGTCATCTCACACACCAGTGACCTGGAGGAATGCAGTTACTGTCATCGATAGGGAAAGTCTTCCCTGTCCTGAATTATTTAGTTATTAATAACTAAGCACTGTATTCCACAGCTTGATATTAGTTTTATGGTTCTTACGAGAACTGAATTTAGTAAATTTGATTACTAGTCTTAAGCGTGAGATTAAACTTTGAAAGAGTTCAAACGTTAAGCCAGAGATGCCATACCAACCCACGAAGCAAGAACTACAACTGAATTTTTTTCCTCCGCTCATTCCCTCCCTCCCTTAAAGGAAAAGTAATATTCAGAAAAGGCTACAGCATTGGCCAGAAGTAGTATAAAAGCTGACATCTATGTACCAGGTCAGCATAGTTCAGGCAAACACAGCACTAAACACACTCAGTGAAAGCTCTGCCATCACCTCCAGAGAAGGTGTAACGGCCTTTACATCCCACCTGACTCTCAGCCAGGAAATTCCATCACAGATCACTCGGGTGGCGAGGCAAATATCCATCCACTGAGCAATGAAACCATCTTCAGTCACATTTGGCAACAAGTCACCAGTGACAATTTGGTCCTGCCATTCTGTGCAGGAGAAGACTACCTACTCCCTTACAAAGCCTCTACAGAACTCGATTAAATCAAGTACTTTTATGGGGCAGGGGGGAAATATTTTAGCACTTGCCCTACTCCCTTACAAAGCCTCTACAGAACTCAAATCAAGTACTTTAGGAGGGAAATATTTTAGCACTTGGCAACAATTCTTTTCATCCCACAAATACTGATGAAAAAAAAATTATCACATTCAACAGGCAGCGTACAACTCACTGCACAAAAATGTAGGCCATTGGGCTGCCACGAACATGTGCAGAGCCCACATTTCCCAACACACTTGTTTCCAGCGTGAAAGATAGCAGGAAGGGATCGACGCTGCAGCGCCTGGCCTGAAGTTGGCAGCTTGGAAGATTTTGAAATCTTCCAGTTCAGGCTCAAGTCGTGG